CAGGAGCACTCAACCACTGAGCTGCGTCCCCAGCCCTATTTTGTATTGTATTTAGAGTCAAGGTCTCACCGAACTGCTTAGCACCTTGACATTCCTGAGGCTGGCTTTGAACTCATCCTCCTGCCTCAGCCTCTTGAGCTGCTGGGATTCAGGTGTGCACCATTGCACCTGGTCTGTTTTGTTTTGTTTTGGTTGAAAGCTAACACTTAGGAGGTATTTACATTCTCGGAGAAGGTTGTTAATGCAGCTGAACCATTATTAATCATTTCAGTGGCCTGTAACATTCATAGAGGTATGTGTAGTCTCACCTCTAATATGGGTTTGTAACTTGGTGAGTGCAGTTCATCTAAACTGCTTTTTAAGTCATATTCTCAAGCAGGAGCTACATGATGGGTAGACAAATAATTTATTTTTCCATATTTTTATTGGTGCAAAATAAAATTTCTTTGCTCTCGGGCTGGGGATGTGGCTCAAGCGGTAGCGCGGGTGGAAGGAACAGTTGTGCCCTCTCCCTTAGATGCTTGTGCTGAGAGCTGGGTACTTCAGGTGAGTTGAGTGTTTGATTGGAAACTGAATCTGGCCATGCTCTTTCTTGAACCCCATTTCCTCCACATCTTTGACCCTGTGAGGGGTTGCCCACCAGTGAGTTCTCCTTATGCTAGTAGAATCTCAGTGCATCTGAATTCTGGTGGCATCTTAAGATCCCTGAGGCAGTCACAGCAAAACTCAGCATTGCCCTGCATACTTAGACTGGATTGGACCCTCCCTCCACCCCACCTCTTAGGTCTCCCCATCTGTCCTGGCTAGGCAGGATGGCAGTGGCTGGTAGTGATTGTACTCCTTGTTTGGGGTCTAGCAGGCTGATGTCCAGCTCTGTCCTGTGTTGGCCTTTAGACATTGTGAGTACTGACTTATGTCTGCATCTCAGCTTTCTTTCCAATAAACTGGGGATAGTAACGCCTACCTACTATAGGCTTGCTGAGAAGATAAAATGAGATGCACTAAGAGCAGTGTCAAGTACACACACTTCATTATTATTACTACTTTTACTGAGATGAGCTCTTTGGGGTTGAGTTGTGATCTCCAAACCTCCCGTTCTCTAGGTAGAAAGGGAGGAAGGGGAAACATGTGGCATTAAAGGTATTTTGGGTTGAGTCCAAGGGCAGGGCAGCATGAGCTCACATGCCCATGGCCCTCCCCTGGGCCTGCCTCCCCCAGCCCTCAAACCCAGTTCCTCTTTGCATCTCTGGGCTGCCGCAGTCTGGCTGGGCACAATCAGGAGCCACTTGTCAAAAGAAACGAACTTTATTTTTAGAACCACACACGCCAAACAAAACAGCCTCTCAGGAAAAACCCTCAGAGCCTCAACTGCCACCACCGGCTTTCCACAAGCCTGACTCTCCCACACAAGATTCTCTCCACCTCCCACAATCCTCCTGCTCTTGAGGCCAATTGGCTGGGTCACGTGGGCGGAGCCAAAAAAGTCCCCCAATGAGCAGCTCCGTGGTCTGAAAGGGCAGGGAAACAGCCCAATGAGCATCACCGCAGAGGAGCCAATCAGCTAGATGTTGCTGGGGCCGCTGTGAGCCAATCATCAGCCAGCAGCTGGAAGTTTGCTGGCAGCTGGAAGTTTGCTGGGGCCCCTTCGGCTGTGGCTCTCAACATCTCCCCCTCTCTGTTTAAACAACAAGCATGTGGCTTAGGGACCGTGCCTGCCTTAGGTTGTCCAATAGTACATATGGTCCTTAGGTTGGTACCATTGCAATTGGATCTTACCCGTCACTGACTACCGGTCCAGTATACAGCCACACCTGTGGAGAGGTCTTTGTACCAGCGGGGGGGTGAGGTTCTTTGCCTCACCTCTGTTGGCCCCCAAATTTTAGCTGGACGATCATGACAAACAGAAGGGAGGAAGATACACCAAGCCAATTGACGGCTCCTTTTGGAAAAATTGTACCACCAATGACATCATCAGCAAAAATACCCCAACACTACCACAAGTCGCTGCACCAACAGATAGTTCACAATGCATACAGGTGAGCTCACAATGTGTCCAGGCAAGTTCTGCAAGCAGTTCAGTGATGGCTATTGTAGAAGCTGTAGATTGGTTTTATCTTTGACTTCACCAGCACTGGGATGAAGATAGGAATTCTGGCAATAATGGCTAAAGAAAAAATTATGTAACATTACAGAAGGCACTAAAAGAAAACAATTTTCTTAACAATTTACATTATCTTTAAGAGAATTATTAAATATAATGAAAAGGAAAGGTGAAAGTAAACAAACAGATCTGTTAACCTTCTTTTTTGTTTACATATTAAAACAATCCTCAACAGTTGTTTACCCAATTTAAATTAAACCATATAAATCACGTGAAAAAAAAATTTTTGGATCCATTTTATCATGAGCGCTCATCATATATGATATATGGACATACGTACATTCAAACATATAACACAAAACACAAGTGTGCACACATAATATAATACATACAACACATAACATTATAGTAAAGGCCTTATAACTTTTTACAGGTGAAATCTCCATTGCAATGTTTAAAAACTCTATAGTCAAAAAATAGAACTGATCAGCAAAACATTAACCTAGGTCTGTATGAGCTCAAAAAACAAAATAGAACTTCATGATATGGCAAAGGGCAATAATAAAATAGATATTGAAAAAAGCATCCTGGTTCTGTTGCAGATGTAAGAATAGCCAAACTGGAGTTTTGGATATCAGTTGTTATGGATTTGAGCCAAATCATCTTCTTTTTGGTCTGTAGAAATCGCTTTAGTTAATCTTTCTGGAATCCAAATCGGCTGCTGTTCTCCCTGTGGAAACACATAAACAGACCCCCGACTCCAGACAATCACTGGGTCAGGACCTTGGTTAATCTCTCTGGAATCCAAATCGGCTGCTGTTCTCCCTGTGGAAACACACAAACAGACCCCCGACTCCAGACAATTACTGGGTCAGGACCTTTCCATTGTCCTGTTAGAATATCCTTCCAAAGTACCTTGGGCTTATGTACATTTTTTGGACACATATGCCTTTCCGCAGCACTAAGTCCTGATGAATCCAAATTTAAAAAGTTTAGAGTAAAAAGGGTTATTTTAAGTTTATCTTTGGGGAATATATACCCCTTCCCAATTCCTTCTTTTTGCTTTAATAAGTACATTTTAATAGTTTGATGAGCTCTTTCAACTATGCCTTGTCCCTGTGGATTGTATGGGATTCCTGTTATATGAGTAATGCCAAATGTTGAGCAAAATTGTTTAAAAGAGGTAGAAGTATAACCAGGGGCATTATCTGTTTTTAACTGTTTTGGAACACCCACAGTGGCAAAATTTTGTAAGCAATGAGCTATAACATCTTTAGTTTTTTCTCCGGCATGAAGGGAGCCCATCAAAAATCCAGAAGAAGTATCAACTGTAACATGCAAATATTTTAATTTTCCAAATTCTGGCAAGTGTGTGACGTCCATCTGCCAAATATGGTTAGGTATCAATCCTCTAGGATTGACTCCAAGATTAACTTGTGGTAAAAAGGTCACACAATTTTGACATTGTTTTATTATTTGTCTAGCTTGTTCCTTAGTTATTTTAAAACGCTTTTGTAAAGTATTAGCATTGACATGGAACTTTTTATGAAAATTTATAGCTTCTTCTAGTGTAGAGAAAATATGTATGTCATGTGTAGTTTTATCTGCTAAATCATTGCCCAAACTAAGGGCTCCAGGCAATCCTGTATGTGCCCTGATATGTCCTATAAAGAATGGATCTTTTCTGTCCCAGATTAGACTTTGTATAGTGGAAAGCAAAGAGAAAACAGTAGAAGAAGGGGAAATCCTACCAGCATCTTCAAGAGATACTATAGCATTAACTACATACTGACTATCAGAAAATAAATTAAATACAGAATCTTTAAACATCACAAAAGCTTGTAAAACTGCATTAAGCTCTACCTTTTGAGCTGATTGTTTGGGTACTAAAAATGTAAAAGTTTGATCAGGGGTAACTACTGCTGCTGTACCATTATTTGACCCATCAGTGAATATATTTGGAGCATTCATGATAGGTGTTTTTCTTGTCATTTTTGGAAAAATTACAGGATGCAATGACCAAAAAGACAATAAAGGATTAGATGGTAAGTGGTTATCAAATGAAACATTAGATTTGCACATGATTATTGCCCAAGTATTTAACTCATTAGCTAACTCATCAATTTGATTCATAGTATATGGAGTAATAATTTTATTGGGAGAAATTCCAAACACTCCCTTTGACCCTTGGAGGAAGCTGGGGCTCATGGATGGGCAGAGGGTTTCCATGATGGGTTGAAAGAGATCTTCAATGGCAGGAAACTGCAGACCTGAATGTTATTCTTTTCTGCTCCATTTTCCTGCAAACTGACTTTCTGGGAATTAAGTCTGTTTCCTTCTTTTGTTCTTACATGGACAGTGGGGGGCTTCCCCCTAGAGTCCCCCCCACCCCTACCCCAGGGGCTTCTGGAACTTGTGAGAAAGGCTGGCAACCAAATAAAAGCCACTTTGAGCCCTAAATCCAAGATTCATGATTCTGGGGCTCTGCTTAAGTCACCTGTTCCCCTCCCACCCATCCCTTCCACACTGTTTTATTTCTCCAAGAATTCCTGCCGTGTCCGTGATCAGTGTTGACATTTAAGGAGCAGGAAAGAAGCCATGGGGGAGTCAGCTTCAGTTGTCACAGATGAATGTATAAGTGAACCTCCCCAAAGTCCCTAAAATCCCATCCCAGGGGGGATCCCAACTCCTGGGCGTGAAGGGTGGGACTATACACTGTCATTTATGGGCTCTTTTCTCGATGGCCACTCCTGGTACATAGCTGCTGCCTCCCAGTGTTCTTCAGTGACCTGGAGACCTCCCTATGCCCAGGGGCTAATGGGTAAGTGGGGGGCTCATCCAATGGTTATGATGGCTGGTTTCCCCACCTCCCATGAGTTAGGATTCAGAAGTCAGACGGTGATTAGAAAGATCAGGTCTTTACTGCAAAATCACTCAACTATCACACAGCCGCAGTTCCTTCAATACATTGCAAAATCTCAGGGCCAGAGCCCTACTTTCTAGAAAGTTTATTGCATAAAATAACATTTTAAGAATAGTGTGGGCACTGCTGAGGTTCACCTCGGCTTTCCACTGGAGGCGGAGGGTAAGAGTCAACACATCCAACAGCATTAGCAGCTTTTTTGGTACTGGAGGAGAGGGCAGCTCTAATGCACATAATCCCAGGGGTGAGGAGGCCCCATCAATCAGGGCCTCACTCCTGCTGCCTCCCAGGGCACCATATGGAATATACACCCAGGACCAAGGCCCACACCAGGCCAGACTCCTGCCCACTCAGGGACCTGGGGCAGTTGATAGCTCTGATCAGGCGGTGTTTACAGGGGAGAGTTAATGCTGGCTATGGGAGGTGGGTGGGGAAGGGATATGGTCACACTTCCTGGCTCAAGAAGCTTTGGTGTTCTGGGCACAGGTGTGCACCACCTTCCACAATGGGGACACAGGAGCTATGTGGCAGCCTCCGCTGCCTGCCTACTGTCTCCTTTGTTCTATTGCACAATTCATCCAACCCTGTGGGGCTGGGTGGGTGACTCAGCAGCTCCATCACTCCAGGGAGGATGGGGGAAGGCTCACCTCTTGACAGTGACAGGTACATCTCCACCTGAGGCCTCTGACTCCAAGCTGAGGGCAGGTGAGACAGTGAGAGGAGCCTGCTGGGTCCAGGAGAGGAGGAGAAGGATGCAGAGACCACCCACCCTCCCCAAACTTCAAGGACCTAGACATGCCTAGAGGGGAACTCCAGGCTCCCATCCAGCCCCCAGGACCCCTTCAAAAACCGATTCTACTCCAAGGAAATTCTCCAAGTCCTGGCAGACCCTTGCTGGGCAAGTCCAGGGCAGCTTTGTGACTTCATGGCTTTGTAAGACTGAGGCTGCAGAAGCACCCACAGGATAGCTTCTCTGCATGTCCCTGCACAGTTCAGCAGCGGAAGGACAGGGTCACTTCTCCACAGGGTAGGGCTCAGCAGTCACGGCAGTCATCTGAGGCAGCCCCTGCCCTTGGTCACTGCTCTCTCTGGGGTCCAGCCTACTCAGGAGTCAGTCAGGCAGGGGTGTGACCTCAAGAGTCAGTCTGAGGCAGGTCCTGCCCATCTTTGTGGGAGTAAGGTGGGTGGGGGGAGGAGAATGGGCAAGATGAGGTCCTTCCCCCAACCGAGGAAGTCTCAAAGTGCTGACAGTGCTGGTTTTGAGTCATTTCCCCTTCTGCACAATGACTCCAGACTAGAGAAGAGCGAGGGGGCTCTGACTCTTAGAAAGGGAGGACTTTCCAGGTGAGAAGCGAGGGGATAGGAAGTCAAGATGAGATGGGAGAGAAAGGAGGTAGTCATCAGGATGACCTCGTCCTGCTGGAAGCAGTTTGGCACGTGGCACTGGAGTTGTCAGCAGCAAGTGCCAGCAAGGACGAAGGAAAGGCACCTGTCCGCTGACAGGCCTGACTGCCTGCCTTCGGGCCAGGCCTAAGTGTGCACATCCACCAGGGTGAGAAGGCCCGGGTTTCTTGGGTGACTTGTGTAGGGTCAAGAATAAAAAAATATTTTCTGTTGCAATATGAAGGGAAAAAAACCCACCTTAAAAAACTAGACCTTTTAATCAGGAATGTGGAATTGAAAATGTCCCCCAAGTCTCATTTCCACAGTGTTTGAACAGCCCTAATGGAGGTGTGACAGTGAGGTGAGCCCAGCCTGATGAAAGGCCCCATTGAGCCTTGAGCAGAGGACATCTGGTGGTGTCCTTGCTCCTGAGACAGAGGGAGGTGGGAGGCCATGGGATGTCATTGGGCTTCCTGGCTTTCTCTGGGAGGCCCATGCTCTCTAGTCACACCTGAGGGTCTTCCTGAAAAGGGGAGACATTGTGACACACCAAGAGGAGCCTGGGGTGATGGCAAACCCGGCTGGGACGGCTTGGGGTGGGTGAGGAGATTGGCCTAGGTTAGAGTGTTCTGTTCCTGGTATTTGCGCCGGCGGGCACAGCGGGGGCAGCCCTTCTTCACCACAGCCTGGCAGCTCTGGTGGAAGACGGTCTTGCACTCAGCACACCTGGGGAGAGAGCAGCGTGCACAGTTTGTGCCAGTTGACTAGAGGCCATCCTGGGGTCGGGGCTGGCCAGGGCTCTGGTCAGATCCCATAGTGAGGCTGTGTTCTTCTTGGCAGCCCCTACCTGCCTGCTTTAGATGATGAGATCACAGCCATGCCGGGCATGGAGATTCTCCATCCACTTCATTTCTCACAAGTGCTGCCTGAGTGTCCCTAAATGATTTCTTACCTATCTTTAAAAACAGTTTCAAAAACAGCTCCAGGCCCATGCAGGGTTGAACCCTGGCGGGTGTACTCACTGGAAGTGGAGGAATGTGCTCCCTGGGGCAGCTTTTTATTCCCCATGTCTGGGTGAATTTTTCAATTCAGAGGCTTCTGATATTGAGCAATGACTGGGGATAAGAACAATCGCTACAGTGGCAGAAGCTGTGGCAAGCACCACCCATAGGTGCCCATTCTGTGCCAGGGGTTTAGGGCCAGGGCCATAGCTTGTTCAGTCCCTCCTCAGCTTGTTTGCAGACTGAGGTGGGGGTCCCTCTCAGTACCGGCAGCCACCTCTTCTCCAGGGTGATGGATGCTCAGTACAGGAGGGAGCCATGGGAGCCCCAGGCAGGGGCTGCTCCAGACAACTTTGCCAGCCAGGCTCTGGCACAGAGTGGATGTTCACTGTTCCTGAGTGGCAAAGCTAGGGCTACTCCCTATAGTGCTGTGCAGAGCTGTGGGTGTCGTGCATACCTGATTGTGGTGTCAAACTCAAAGGGGAAGATGATGTCATGGTGGTGGCAGATCTGGCAAATAAAGCCCCGCTGGGTGCACAGGTCACAGTGGTAGACATGCTGGGAGGCGAACTCGATCAGGCCCTTGAGGAACCCTTCATACACCCCATCTGCAATCTGTAGGGATAAGCACAAGCCTGGCCTCAGGCAGCTGCATTGTGGCACCAGACTCCCTGCTGAGAGGAACTGCCTCCAGCTCCTCTACTAGCAAGGAGACTTCCCCAAATTGGGCTGTCACGGGGAGTTACTGGATTTACAGATGAGATCCAAATCTACTCCATTCTCTTGAGCAAAGCAGCGTCCTACACTTTCAACCCAGGATTCTAGAGTCTGCTGCCTGCCAGGGAACCAGGGGAGTCTGTCACTGCCCAGGATGTACTGGGGCAGCAGGGAGGCCCATTCTGAGATGTGAAAAAGTTGAACACTGCTATCTGGTCTCAATATTCGGAAACACCCCTCTTCCATCTCTTTTTCTGATTTCTCCAGGAATGAGGCCTCTCTATAGAGATTTGGGGAGAGTTGGACACGTTTACCTGCTGGAGGTCAGCAACACTGAACTTGTGGGGAGATTCCAAGAGATAATTCCTGTGGTTGAGCCTGCAAAGAAAACACAAGAGCTTCCTCAGAAGGGCTTTGGAGGCTGGGCCACCCTGCATTGTCTGTTTTCCTTCCCTCAGCACTGTTAACCAACCATAACCCTTCTGCCTCGCCAGGCAGGGCTAAGAGCACAAGTCAGCTGGACCAGACTTGCCCTGGCCTCCCAGGTAAACTAACCAGCTGGTGGGTCCTTGGGCAAGTTGCTTAATCTCTGAACCTCAGGTATCTTCCTCTAAGAAGTGGAATTGTTTTTGATGATTAAATAATCTATTTAGAGCATTCGGTACAGTGTCCGGCAGGTAGTGAGCACATAACTAATAATGATGAGGGTGGAGCTGGGGCTGTGGCTCAGTGGTACAGCGCTTGCCTAGCATGTGTGAGGCACTGGGTTCGATTCTCAGCTCTGCATATAAATAAATGAACAAAACAAAGGCCTATCAGCGTCTAAAAAAATTTTTTTTTAAATAATAATGAGGATGAGGATGATGAAAACTGACAGCCAGTACCAGGAACTGGCTGAGATTTTACCCTCAGTCACTCATCTGTCCTTGCAACAATGCTCTGAGGCTGAGCCTGTTGCAACTCCCACTTTGAGAAAATGGGCAAATGTGGAGAGTTTAAATAATTTGCCTGGGGTCACACAGTAAGAGTCAGAGCAGGAGCTTGCATGCAGGTATCTGGTTCTAGAGCCAGCATCCTTCTCCACTCCACTGAAACTCTACCACCATTACATACCAGGGACCCTGCTGAGGACAGAAATGCAGAAGATACAGCTGCTGCCCTCTGGCAGCCCCTGGTCTAGCTGAAGAAAAGACATTCCAGTATCTGGTTTCAGTGCTACATGAAAGGAACTGAGATGTGTTCTAAGCACAGCAGATCCCGTTTCAGAGGGGAATGGAGTGGAGGACAAGGGCTGCCGCCAGCCCTGTTTTGGTTCCCACTACACCAACAGCTGAGACTCTGGGTCACATCCTGAGGGATGGAGAGGAAGTGCCTGCAGAAAATCCCTGGCACAGAACCCTATCCAGCCTTGCTCATGTGCCTGTGCAGGTCCTGGGGTGGGGGGTGGATACTCCAAGTCAGAGGAAGCTTGGGAACCTGCACAGGATGCCCTGGACATCTGGAACAGATGGTGTCTGGCATCAGGAATGGGGGCTTGGCCATACCCCATCCAATGGCCTTAGTGTGGTTCAGGGGGAGCCCAGTGTGGGATGGTCCCACAAACAGCCAGGCAGGCCACACTGTGCCATGTGGGGTGAGGACACTGCCAACTTGCCTCTCAGTTTACCATGCTGGTTTCCTTAGTAAACTTCCAGCTTTCTGGGAACAGGAAGCTGCCATTTATCACCGGGAAAACATGGTGGGAGATAGGCACACAGGCTGGCTCCAAGCTGGCAGGAAGGGTGGGGCTGAGTTGGATGGAGAGGTCGCTGTCTTCTACCTCTGTCTACAGTCCTGGCAGCCAGTCAGGCCTATAGCCTGATCTGAGAGTCACTGTGCCCTGGGCCTGTCACACTCTCAGTGGGGCTCTATAACTGATGCTCTGTCAAGGCCAGAAGGAAAGCAGTACCACTCATGCTGTCCTCCAGGAGAGAAACACCTGGGCACTGGAGAAAACCCTGGGCTACTCTGGGCCTCAGTTTCTCACCCATACAATGGAAAGACCTCTCTTAGTCCTCTGGTGTGAGGCTGATTGTCTGGAGAAGGGACCGGAGAGAATTTCAGGGGTCTCTGGGAGACAGTGGAAGTTGGAGAAGGTTGCTTTTTAACTCCTGTAACTTACAGGGTAATGGGACAGAAGGCCACATGAACATAGGGATCACTGACCCTGGCAAGGCCAAATGATCTGCAGGTCTCCAGTGGGCAGCCTGGGTGCTACCTCTTTCTGAGCCCCTCTTCCTCCTCTATCTACCTCTACTCAGCTGTTGGTAGGAGCCACCAGGTCTGGTGGGAACATCCCTGTGAGGCATTTCTGTGATGGTTCCTTCCCAAAGGCCCAAAAGAATGCTTTTAGAAACATGTCCCAGACCTGCGAGAGGACCCCTTTCTCTCAGGGGACCCACCAGTCTGTTGCCATTGGCAAGGGGCAGCTCCTCTTGACTTTACCTCCTACATCCAGAACCTGATCGTGTCCTCTCCTTTCTTGTCCTCCCAGCCTCCCCTCTGGCTAGCTCAGTCAGGTCTCCCTAGCCCCTGGGGTCAATAACGACACCAGCCACCTTGCCAGGACTCTCTCCTTAGCTCTTGCACCTTCGGTTGCTAGAATGGTCTCTTAACCACAGACTGAACCATGACAGTCTCGGCTCAGACCCTTCAGTGGCTCCATGCTGGTGGCAGATGAAGTGCAAAGGACTTCAGTGGGGGCCACAGGGCCTCCGAGTTCTGGTCCCTGGCCCGGCATCCAGCTGTCTTGAGCCTGTTTGGGCCCTTGTGAACTGTGCTCCATCCGCTGCCCACTTAAGGCCCCTCAGCCAGGAAAGCCAGGCCTTTCCCTGGCCCTTTCTTCTCTTGCTCCAGTGTGCTGACAGTGAGGCCTGGGTGCAGGTGGTGGTGGAATCTGAGAAGAGCTGACACGCACGTTCTGTTTCATTCCCTTTTATTATAAACACCCCTTTCAAATTGACTAACTTTGTAAAGAAAATAAGTATTTTCTTAAAATAAAAGAATGCTGCAAACCCTTAACCCTGATGCCATCTCTTGGAACCCCCTGGCCCTCTGGCCCCTGTCCAGTTGAGTCAGGTGCCCCCTCAGACACATACCAAGCTGACCCAGGCCATCTGCCTGCTTATCTGTAGCTCAGACACTGAGCCCCTCACCATGACGTGGAAGGCCACATGAATATAGGGATCACTGACCCATTTTACAGGCAAGAAAGCTGGAACTCAGAGAAGTGACTTCCCTGAGTCATGTGGGTCTGGAGCTGGGCAGGAGCTATTCCTATGCTCTTTCCCCTGTCTTGTTAATTCCTCTAAAAGGGGACTTCCACAAGTGTGGCCTCATCCTCTAGCAGGCCAGGTACACAGGGATGGGACAGCAGGGCCAGAGAGTCAGAGGCAGGCTGCCCATGGCACCAATCATAGGCTGGCTCAGAGATGGTTCAGCAGGCAGAGTATGGGATGAGGTCAGTGCCAGCCCACCCTGCAGGTGTCAGGAAGGGTGACAGAGGTACCACTTGTCACCTGTTTTTTTTTTTTTTTTGTGTGTGTGTGCACGCATGCATGTGAGTGTGTGTGTGTGTGTGTGTGTGTGTGTGTGTGTCTGGGGATTGAACTCAGGGCCTCACACATGCTAGATATGACCCCAGGTTTTTACCACCTGGTTAGGGGCAGGAAGGCAGACCTCTGGAGAGTCTGGAGTCCTGGGTCACAGAACCTCAGAAAAGAGAGGAGAGAGTCAGCCTCACTGAAAAGGGCGGGCCCAGGTACCCAGCTGGTGTGGGATGGCAGAGCCTTTAGGGGCTTTCTGTTCTTCCAGGCCCTGCAGAAGAGAAAGCCCTGGGGGCTCTATGGGCCTGTGAGGGACCAGTTCTCCGAGTACCCACCAGAGAGCTCCCTGCAGCACTGGACAGCCCCAGGGGACCTGTATGGGCATACCCTTGCCCGGAGGAGCAAAGCAGGCATGACTCTGGGCAAAACAACTGCACTCAGGGCCGAGGAGACACCCTTCAGACAGTGCTCCCTGGCAGCCCCTGAGGAGGTGAGGCTCTGGAGAAGGTGGAGGTGCTTATAAATTACTCTGGTTTCAAAGACCCAGAAAAGGTGAACCCAAAGCCCATGCTGGGCTAGGAGAGGTTTGTGACGGCAGGGAGACTATCTGAGTCCATCCTGAAGCTTGCAGTCACCTTCCATCCCTGGGAAACAAAGGCCTCCAGGCCCTGGGTACCCAGGAGCTTCTTGGAAGGGCTCCTGAGGGTGTGCTCTGATCACACACTCCTGGAGGGTTTCAGGAAGGATGCTGCCATGGACAGCAGCATCTAACAGTCAAGGCACGGAGGCTGGGCCGGCAGGAAGGAGACCCGGAGCACAGCCATCATCACCTGGCTAGCTGTGTCTCGCCTGCCTCTACACACGCTTCCTGCCTCCCTTTCCACTCCAGACAATGCTCTCCCTGTGCTTTCTGTGTACAGTGCCTTCCTTTGGGGCCTGTACCTGCTATTCCTCTCTCTGGAACACTCTTCCCCTCCTCTTTCCTCTTCTACCTCCTAATCAGTTTTCAGGTCTCACCTTACGCGTCACTTCCTCCAGGAAGTCTTCCCCACTGGGACCTCCCCTAATCTGGTTAGAGGTCTTACTTGAGCTTCTGGGTATACTTCTCCTCTCCCCACCGCCCCCTGATTGGAGTTGCTGGTTAGCTCATTGCCTTCCCTCCTAGACCAGAGGCTTTCAGAGGGGAGGACTCTGGTATACTTTACTCAGCATTGCACCCTGTACACCTTGCCAGGTGCTTGGGTATGTTCTCAACAAATAAATTACACCCCCCCACACACACACACTCCCCACCCTCACACCCACACATTTTTGGTGGTACTGGGGATTAAACCCAGGGATGCACCACCACTGAGCTACATCCTGGTCCTTTTTATTTTATGAGACAGGGTCTCATTAAATTGCACAGGCTGGCCTTGAATTTATAATCCTTATTACTCAGCCTCCCAAGCAGTCAATTTGTTGAATAAATAAATAAATATATGAACAAAATCTACCCCTGAGGGGCTGGAGTTGTGGCTCAGTTGTAAAGCACTTGCCTAGCATGTGTGAGGCACTGGATTCGATCCTCAGCACCATATAAAAATAAACAAGTAAAATAAAGGTATGTTGTTCATCTAAAACTAAAAAAAAATTTTTAAATTAAAAAAAAAAAACAACTCAAAAAACAAAACACCCCTGAAGGATGTGGTGATTTTGCAAGCCCAATGGGAAGTTCTCTGCCCAGCCCTGGCATTGCTCAAGGAGCCGCCTTGAGCGTGTGTGGCCTGTGCACGTAGAAGGTACTCACCTCTTGCTCAGCTCCTTCAGGGCACCACTTCGACATAGGCCCAGGTAATCCCCCAGAAGCTTCAGTTGTTCCCGACTCCTGCCAATGAGGCGCATCTGCTCCACATGCTCGTACAGAGAGGCATTCACCAGCTGCAGGTTGACGAGGGGCTGGGCCCGGATCTGCGCCAGAAACTTCAGGGCCTGCCGACAGACCTGGGGACACCATGGAAAGGCTGGCTGTTAGCGATGCCTACACTGCCCAGCTCTCACCTGCCCTGCAGCTCTCTCCAAGGGATGTAGCACTAGCTTCATCTTATAGACTAGGAAACTGAGGTTCAGAGCGATGACGCTACTTAGCCAAGAGCACACAGCTCAGAAATGGTACAGTCCGACTCCCAAACCAGCTTTTCCTCTAATGACACCCGTGTTGCCCCCTCCCAACCATGACAAGATATGGGAGGTCACTCTGGATAAGGCCCCCTCCTCCGGGCCTCACAGTTCTTTCCCACTCTTTCCTGTATGCCCAACTTCCTTTTCCTGCCTATAGGAAACAGGTGCTCCCCTCTGGGCCCTGACTCAGGAACCAGGTGACTGGTGTTGCGGCTCTAGCTACAGGAAACCACAGAGCAGACACAGCTTAACAAGGTTCCCCAAGTGCACTGGGCTCTTGCCAACAACCACCAGGACTCCCCTGTGACTCTGTGGAGCTGAGTGATCAATCTCAGCTTCTCTCAACAGATTGAAAGAGAGTTGAAGGTTCTACCCAAGATCCTGGCCCTAATACAGTTTGCCAGACATAGGGAGGGACCTTGATCATATCCTCTTTTCATCCACAGAACAAGCCATGGGGAGAGGTGGCATCATTTCTATTCTATAGATGAGGAAACTGAGGCTCTGAGAAGCTGAAGTATCTGACCTGCCTGTGGAAAGTGGAGCCCAGGTCTGAGCTGCAGTGTTGTTTCTGAACACCAGGCAGCCACTCTGACTAAAAGAACTCCTTGTGGCATGCTAAGGAGCTGGGGCTAACTGGAGGAAAATCAAAGGATCAATGCCAGGAGACTGTTTAGCAGTGCTGGGAATTGAACCCAGGTCCTTGCTAGGCAAGTGCTCTACCACTGAGCTACATCCCAGCTTCCCCACCCCCTTTCTTTTATTTTGAGACAGGATCTTGCTAAGTTGCCAAGCTGGCCTTGAACTTGGGATCCCCCTGCCCCAACCTCCCAAGTGGTTGGTATTACAGGTGTGTGCTACCATGCCTGGCAGATTATTTTGAGTTTATATTAAAAGATATTCCATGCAAGTATTTGGCAAAGGGCCTGGCACAGAGTTCATCTTCAGTAAATGTGAACTTCTGTCAGCGACTATTTAAGAGCCTGTCTGTCCCTTTGAGGGTCAGAGAATGTAATGGGGCTCTCAGAATTGTCCCTATATCTGGGAGCTGAGGAGACCTCTGGCCTCTTGTCTCCCAGCTCCACCAGCAACACTCTTCTCCCCCTGCCACGGACAACTCCTTTTTCCATATCCTATAGCCCTGAGGTAGCAGTCCCCCAGCTCGAGGGCAGCCCAATGACAAACCCCTGGTGACTTGGGTCAAACTGCTGTCCTCCAGCCATGGCTCAGCTCTCCTGTAACAGCATCTGTCTGGCCTTGAGTGAGGCTCAGATGAAATACACACAGGAATGAGTGCCAAACACTGCCCAGTGCTAGAGACTGGCAGGGACTTTGTGCTCCCCAGGGGCTGTCCCTATCCTGTGGGCATGGAAGAGAAAGACAAAAGCAAAAACCACACTCTGGGACTGACATCCTGCCAAGTGCCAGCTGGGCTTCAGAACAAGTGGGTCAGCCAGAGCTGCAATAGCAAACAATAAGGCCCCAAAGCCCTGGCCAGCCACTTTCTGTTTGAACTTTCTTGTCTCTCTCAGGTGGTTGATCTTTGATAGAGAGCTGGATATTTCCTGATCTCAGATAAGCCTAGAAAAGTTTTGCAGTTTCCTAGGGAGAAGGAAGGAAGAGCACAGGATTCCAGTACTGAGTAAGGAGGTGGCCCGACTGAAGTATCAGGGTCTGGGGAAGAGGGAATGTGCTCACGGTCAAAGGTGCATTCCTGGTGACTCTGAGGGTTAGTTTTCTGTGCGTAGTTAGTTAAATACTACTGAGGGCAGGGGTGGTGATGGGTGAACAACAGAATGGCCAAAGCAAAGCCAACTTTGGAGTTTTTCCTCCCCAGAGGAGTGGAATTTACTTGGAGTCACCTTCCCTGAATTCTGAGGACACATCCATGAGGCAAGACTGTGTAGCGTGCAGGTCCTGGGCCTTGAGAGAAGAAAACAACTGCTTCCTTGTGTTTCTGTGTCTGTCTTAGTAGAAATCTATGCTTTGGAAAGAAGGCAGATTTGAAAGGAGAGGGTAGCATTTGAGATAGGATAGAATAGGATGGAATAGGACAAGACAGGACAGGAAAGATTTATTAATGGATTTGTGGTTGAACAGATGAATGGATGAATAGGTAGACAGATGGGTGGTCTTGAATTAGGGACTGAACAAGTGAATTAGGGACAAGAGATAGGAATGGCCTCAGGGGAGGGAAAGGGCGCTGTTAGAAGGCACTGTTCTAAGTGACAGGCAGTACTACCACAGTCTTCACAATAGACCCAAGACATACACTATTTTTTTCATTTTGGGGGGATCCTAGGGATTGAACTCAGGGCACTTAACTACTGAGATGGCTTTTTTATATTTTATTTAGAGACAGGGTCTTGCTGAGTTGCTTAGGGCCTCACTAAGTTGCTGAGGCTGGCTCTGATTTCTTGATTCTCCTGCCTCAGCCTTCCTAGCTACGGGGATTACAGGTGTGCACCAACATGCTCGGCCTGAGACATACACTATTATTAAACCCCTTTAAGAAAAGAAAAACAAACCAAAAACCTTAAGAGATTAGGGATCTGAAGCTAACTTGCTCATGACAACACAGCTAGAAAAGTGGCTATAATCCTAATGGCTTAGGAGGCTAAGGCAGAAGGATTGCAAGTCTGAAGCCAGCCTCAGCAACTTAGCAAGACCCTAAGCAACTTAGTGAGAAATTGTCTCAAAATAAAAAATTAGGGCTGGGGTCATAGTTCAGTGGTAGAACATTTGCCTCTCACATGTGAGGCACTGGGTTTGATTCCCAGCACCACATAAAAATCAAATCAAATCAAATAAAGGTATTGCGACCATCTACAACTAAAAAAATATTTTAAAGAATTAAGAATTTAAAAAACCCAAAAGGGCTGAGGATGTGCTCAGTTGTTAAATGCTCTTGGATTCAATCCCCAGGAAAGGAAGGAAGGAAGGAAGGAAGGAGAATGAGACAGACAGAAAGGAAAGAAGGAAGGAAGGAAGGAAGGTGGCTAAGCCCACCTAGAGAAGAGGACAATCTGAAAGATCTTAGAATATATCTTGTTCAAAGAAAAAAAGTATCTTGTTCAGAAGCATCTGGTGGACATACAAGAGTACCCAAGATATAATATTAGGGGCTAGGGATGTGGCTCAAGCGGTAGCGCGCTCGCCTGGCATGCGTGCGGCCCGGGTTCGAGCCTCAGCACCACATACAAAAAACAAAGATGTGTGTCTGCCAAAAACTAAAAATAAATATTAAAATTCTCTCTCTCTCTCTAAAAAAAAAAAGATATAATATTAAGTGAACAAGATGGGAGAGAGGAGGGGAGGGGAAGGGGGTAAAGGAAGGACAGCAGAATAAAATAGACATTATTATTGCTGCATGTATATATATGACTGCATGACCAATGTGATTCTGCAACCTGTACACTCAGAAAAATGAGAAATTATACTCCATCTGATTCAAATGTATAATACGTCAAGATCATTGTACTGTCATGTGTAACTAATTAAAACAAATTTAAAAAAAGAAAAAAATTAAGTGAACAAAGCAGGATGAGTCCAATATGATCCCAGCACATGTGAGGCACTGGGTTCGATTTATAAAAAATAGATGCATATGTAAATTAATGCACAGAAAAGGCTGCCCCCCAGAATATTAGTAGTGATTACCTCTGGGTGATGACACATAATTTTGACTGATTTGTCTTTGGGCTTTTCTGTAAGTTTTAATGTTGAACAATAATCCTGTATTGGACTGGGGTTGTGGATCAGTGGTAGAGTGCTTGCCTAGCATGTGCAAGGCACTGGGTTCGATTCTCAGCACCACATATAAATAAATGAACAAAATAAAGATCCATCGACATCTAAAAAAAAAAAAATGTCCTAGTTTTCTGCATAGGGAAAGCTTTTAAAAAAAATAACCATATATTATCTTTATAACGGGTAGAGGCCCAGAAAAAGTGCACTTTTCCCCCCCAGCCATATATATATAAAATTATTTTTTAAATTTAGAGACAGGGTCTTGCCAAGTTGCTTAGGGCCTCACTTGGCTGTGGCTGGCTTTGAACTTGCAATCTTCCTGCCTCAGCCTCTCAAGTCGCTGGGATTACAGGTATGGACCACCACACCTGGCTAAAAGCACACTTTGGAAAACATGAAATAAGTAGCCCACACAGGGCTTGCAGTCACCTGGGGCCCTCAGGGTTGGCAAAAGTAAGGTTGAATTGCTCTTTGGGGTGTGGCCAGCTGGCTGGACTGTCCATTTACTTATCCAGCAATCCACCCACCCAGCCATCTACCTAACTCCATCCATCTATCCATCTATCCACCCACCCACTCAACTATCCAGCCACACATCCATTGACATATCTGATCTATCTTATCCTGTCCCTCCTTCCTATCTGCCTATCTACCTAGTTGCTGGTGCCTTACACAGTTTTGTCTGTTTCTTGGAAGCTGCAGAGAATCATCTTCAGAGGTCTACTGGGGACTCAGGCAGGTGTTTTCAGAGCTCTGTTTGGGAGCTGCAGATAGGCACCAAGCTTTCCTCTTGGTCTTGAACCAGTGATCTTGCTCCCTAGAGCCAAACCACTTCAAACATACAAACAGCAGCAGCGAAAAGGGGAGGATATTCCTCTGTCATTCAGCAGCCATGTAGGATCATGACTCGCTGGGCCTGAGACTTACCGGGCGCTTGGTGAGGTCCCAGTTGTGGATAATTCTGGCCGGAATCACTGAAGTATCATCTTGGTGGCAGATGTCACAGTAATAGAGGCCAGAGAAGGCACAGAGTTTGGGTCGTACAAAGGAGAAGCCAATCTGCCGGGAGCAGCCTGGGGAGATAGGCAGTGAGCAGAGAGGGGCAGAGTCAGCTCCAGGTATCACAGAGCTACTATGGTGGGAGGGGCCTGCTAGTTTTATATATATAAACATAACTAACATAACTAATATATATATATATATATGTTATATTTTTTAAAAGAAGAGCACAAGGGTAAAAATGACTCACTTATATTTCCACCACTAATGATCAACACTATTAATGTAACAATGCACTATTAGAATTACTATCACAGGGCTGGGGATGTGGCTCAAGTGGTAGCGCACTCGCCTGGCATGCGTGCAGCCCGGGTTCAATCCTCATGGCCACGTACAAACAAAGATGTTGTATCCACCAAAAACTAAAAAATGATAAATATTAAAATTCTCTCTCTCTCTCTCTCTCTCTCTCTCTTTAAAAAAAATTACTATCACCATTTTACAGCTAAAGAAATTGATGCTCAGAGGTGAAGAAATCTGTCTGGTTACACAACAACTAGTTTACACAGTGGAAATCAAATTTGGGCTTGGTTGGTCCCAAGCCTGAGATCTCTTCCATGATACTCAGCCTCCTTCATCCAGTGGTTCCACTGCTTGCTCCCCAATGCCACCTCCTCTCCATCCACCCCCTACCGGGGCCCAGTAACGGAAGCAACCAAGTCAGGGCCAGCAGTGAAGGAGCTGAAGAAGGGGCCACGGTAGTGGATGGGGAAGCCAGCAGGAGCCAGGGTGGCCTGGACATTTCCTGAGACCAGCTTGAACCCTGAGCAGCCTGTTATCTCAGGGGAGTGGGATAGGGCCAGTTTCAGCTGCTTGGTTGAAGGTCTTAGGGGGCACTGGGAGTGGGGTGTGGCTAGGGCAAAAATCTAAGGCTGGCTCAAATCCTGAACACATGTTCTGCCTCCCACAGGGGCAGGGGAAAGGGTCCCCCTACCACTGAGCCACTTTGGCCTTGGGACCAAAGTGCAGGATCTCTTGCTTAGCAGCTGCCTCACCCTGACCTTCACCTAATTTTCTCAAGGTTTCATTTCAGTGTCTATAAAACTCAGCTGCTACTTGCTATTTTTGTGGGGATATTACAAAGTAATAGTGAGACCATGTTCTGAAAGTGACCCGCAAACTGAAATACAACCCAGTGCGCACCGATGTCTGCCCAGCCACGGGGCTGTGCTGCACGGTGGAGAGGAAGCAGGAAGTCGGGGTTTCACAGTCCTGGCTGTCAGGCTATCAGGTGAGAGCCATGGGGAGACCTGTTCTCTGTGACAGCACTTACTTCACAGGTGGGAAGTGTCCCCTCACAAGTGCTAAAGTCCTGCCCCTTGGGCTGAAGAGAGAAGGGTGAGTTCTGGGGCACAGTGCTGCTTGCAGGTGTTTTCTGTAGGAAGCTCTGCTCAGCCTGCTTCTCCCATCCTCCAGGGGGCTACCGCAGGCCACTTCCTTCCAGGCATTTAAGGAGGCTTTCCCCTCTGGTCTGGCAGGCTCCTCCCTCCCCCCAGGTCAGCTCTGAAATTGGAACTCAACTTATTGTGGCCTTCTGCAGCAGTGCAGCTGGCATGTCCCCCTGTACACTGGGGAGTGGTACATCACATAGGCTTGGACAGTTCAAGGGCAGAGAGCCTCTGGGGTCCTCTCCACTAGCACAGGCTCTGAGGGAGCAACCATCAAGGTCCAGTTCTGTCTCTAACACTTACTAGCTTGTATGAGCCTGAGCCAAGGCACTTACCAGCTCTGGGCCTCAGCTTCCTCACCTATAAACAGAGTAACAGCCCCAGTCTCTACTAAATGAGATAATCCAAATAAAGCATCTGGCTCAGTGCCCCACACAAAGGTGATTCAATGGTGATAATAACAAGGCAGATGCAGTGACATGAAATAATACCCATAATGTATTACTAAGGAGAAAAAACCAAGTTGCAGAATAACACATAGAGCTGTGCTGCCCGAGACAGTGCCATGCACCATAGGGGTCCCTTTTAAGTGAATTTAGCAAATTAAAAAAAAATTTTTTTTTTTTTTTTTAGTTGTAGAAGAATACAATACCTTTATTTTATTTATTTTTATGTGGTGCTGAGGATCGAGCCCAGGGTCTCACACATGCTAGGCAAGTGCTTTACCACTGAGTCACCACCCTAGCCCTTAAGTGAATTTAAATGGAAAACAGTTCCTTATGCACACTAGCCACATGTTAAGCATCCAGTGACCACACGTGGCTCACAGCTACCACAGCAGACAGCACAGATCTAGAACTTTTCATTAACACAGGAAGTTCTACTGGACAGCATGGAACAGCATGACTTGCAAAATCATGCACAAATATTTACTTTGGGAGAATCCCAGGCCCCTTTTGTAAAAGAATATGACAGTGTAGCAAGAAGATAATGCAGAAAGGAGACAGCAACAGGAAGCATGGTTGTCACCCACAGGTCCCACCCAGCAGCAGGTCCCACCCAGCAGCAGGTCCCACCCAGCAGCAGGAGAGGGGAGAGACAGGGGGCTGCCCAAGAGCAGGCAGCTGGCCCCACTGGGTGCTGGGGAGGTGCAGAGGCTTCCTGGAAGCCTACTGTTACGTCAACTCAGGGGAAGGATGAAGGCACAGGGAGGGCCCTAAATCAGGAAGTAGAGCAAGGCTGGCAGGCAGTGGGTGGTGGGAAGGTTCAAGTCAGCACCTGCGCAGAAGCAGCCCTGGGAGTCCAGGCCTTTCTCCGTGGGGATGGCCACCAGGTATTGCAACAGGAAGCCATTCTCCCGGGTGGCGAACTTCAGCACCTCCTGACAGTTTTCATCCAGACTCCCGCCAAGTGTCATGGCCTCCTCAGCTGTCTCCAAGTATGATGCCAAGACCTTGCGGACCAGGTCCCTCCACAGGGCAGCCTCCTCGGCGGTCCCTGCCTGCAGCTTCAGCACGGCCTTGGCTGTGATGATTTTGAAAAAGGCCGGGCCCCCTAGGCTTGTGTCCGGCAGGATGTCTCGGATGGTCTCCACTCCATGGCTGTCACTTAGCATCTTCTCATTGTTTTTCACTCGGAAGCATTTAAGAGACTCCAAAGACAGGGAGAAAATATAGGGTATCCAGGTCCTGTCTGCATACAGGTACAGAAGGGATTCTTTGATAGCATCTGGCTCCGGAACCTGGGCAGATGTCCAGTCAAACTGTGTGCCCTGGGGGACTGTGGGCTCCGGAAGCAAGGCTGAGTAAGAGAGGTGTCCACCTAGGGGAGCCTCAGCGGGGTCCTCAGGTTGGTCTGGATACTGGATGTTCACCCACTCATCTTCCTGCTGAGGCCGGACCTTCTGCAGGGCCTCCCGCACCCGGTCAAGCCAGTCCTCAGCCTCATCCTGAGAGGAGGCACGCAGGGCCAGCTTCTTGCCAGAGAAGACTAGCTCAAAGCGCCCATCACTGTGGGCCGGCCCCACAGCCTCACAGCGCAGCAGAGAGCAGCTTTCCACACAGGTGCGCTCCTCATCACTCAGGTAGAGGCGGAGCTCCAGCGGGGAGAGCTCGCAGAAGAACTCCTTCCAGATGCCCATGGCCCCTCGCCGAGCCACTGTGCCCAGCTTCATGAGGCCCCGGAATGGGTTGGACAGCCCTGGAAGCAGAAAGAGGCACTTTAGAGAACGGGCCACAGTGGAAATCCCCAGAACACAGCTGGTCGTGGGCCACTGTCAGATGGGATTCTGAAAGCTGGATGGGAATATTTTTGAGCACCTTGGCCAATCCTCCTCAGCATTTGTTAGAGTCTGTAAACAAGTCTGGATGGCGCCTGGCATTTTGCCAGAGGGAGTGGTTTGTGAAGTAACACCATCGAGCCATTAAGTGTGGAGATTCCTTATTGGTTGACTGATGTATCTAGTTTATGCTAATTAGATGAGCTGTGTGGAATGTATAAATACTGCTCCTGTCCTGCAATAAGGGGCTCCTACTCCTGCTGTATCAATCTACACAAGTTGTTCGTCACCCCCCGGTTATTTTGCCCAGCCAGCCGGGCTGCGGCAAGCATTGACCTCATTTCCTGCACTTTGCTGAGAAGAGGAATGTGCTCATATACACTATATATACTCTGGCATCTGGGCCTTCATTGGACCTTCCCTCCTGTCATTAGGTTGTGCTTCTAAGTGAGGCCAATCCCTCCCCACACCCACACAAGGCCAAGGACATCTTTCCAGCAATTCCCTTTCTCCTGTGTCGCTCTTTCCTCCCTTCTCTACTTGATCAGGCCCTCTGGCACACAGAATGCTGTAATTTCTCCCATCTTTAAAGTCTCTCTCCTCAACTCACATCTCTAATTACTACCTTGTTTCTTAGTCCTTTTTACAGAAAATCTGCTTAAGAAGTACAGGCATCTCTGGCTCTATTGCTGCTCCCATTCCTTCTTGAACCTGCTCCAGTTAGACTTCTGACCTCTCACTTTACTGAAACTACTCTTGGGAAGGCCAACAACACCCTCCTTGTGGCCAAACCTAAGGCCTCCCTGGAGGCCTAACCTGACCCTTATCTCCTCAGCTCCCTGACCTCTCAGGGCTGGAGCACTCTGGGGCTCAGTCCTGGGTCCCTGTCTGTTCTGTGGACACCCACTCCCTAGCTGAGCTTACCTGCTCTCAGGGCTTTATGCCCACAGACCCCGCCCCCTTTTTTCCTCTAGCCTGGACTTCACCCATGAACTTTAATACATCCACCTGCTCCACATATGTCTAATAGATGCCTTAAAGTTGACATGCCAAAAATGAATTCCTAATTCTCTTGCTGCAAAACTGTTCCTTATCTCATAAAATGGAGAACTTCATCCTTCTAGTTTCCTAGGCTAAAAACCATGGAGTTATCCCAGATTTTTCTTTTTCACCTTATATCCAAACCTTCAGCAAATCCTCTTAGCTTCAATACATATCTAATAGTCCCCTGCTTCTCCACCACCTCTACTACCTCACAGCTCAGGCCACCGTCATCTCTTACTTGGATTATGACGACAGTCCCCTGACTGGTTTGGCATCCCCTGCTGTCCTTCAGTATAGGAGCTGGAGTGATTAGTTTAAAAGATAAGCTAGAACATGTCCCTCTGCCATTCTGTCCCCAGAACAAATGCCTACCTACTTTTCATGGTCCATAGGCCTCCACGTAACTGACCTCATCTCTCACCACACCTCCCCACTCTGCACCAGTTGCTCTGGTCACCACTGTCCCCTGAACATGTTAAGCATGTTCTTGGCACAGGATTTGCATTTTTCTCACTGTTTGAAACACACAGATGACCTCATGCCTCCTTCCCTTCTCCCTTCCCATGACCTCACATGTCACCCTATTTGTGAGGGTGCTCTGGCTACCCTCTTGCCTGGCACTCCCTGACTCCTTATTTTCTAGGGCTCTAATCACCACCTAACCACACTCTATGATTACTTGACAGTTTTTTTTATTTCCTGGATCCCCCTGCCAGAATCCAAGTCCCATATGCTTCCCCCTGTGTCCTACACATCTAGAATACTGCCTGGCACATTAGAGACACCAATGAATACCTGCTCAATGAACAAAGGAATGAAGGCCTGTGACCCACACTGCTCAATGCCCCTTGCTCCTCTGGAGTCTGCTACATTATATGGAGGGGTCCAAAGGCCACAAAATTCTCTTTCCCCCAGCCTGGAGATTTGTACTGCATAGGGTTTCCTGACCCCTTGGACATCCTAAGTAAGAAGCATACCACTGGGGGTAAGGGTTGTGGCTCAGTGGTAGAGTGCTTGCCTAGTATGTGTGAGGAACTGGGTTTGATGCTCAGTACCACATAAAAATAAATAAAAAAAATATTGTGTCCATCTACCACTAAAAAAAAAAAAGAAAGAAAGAAAGAAAAAGAAAAAAAAAAGAAAGAAAGAAAGAAAAAAAGAAAGAAAGACAAAGAAAAAAGCACACCTTCTCAGACATGGTTAGAGACCACAGCCAAAAGCAGGTGGGACAAACCCAAAAGAAGCCAACATGGAGATCAGGGCTCTTCTCACCCAGAGCCCCATGGACCTGACAGAATTCTCAGCTAGGTCACTATAAACAGAAAATGAGGAGAAACTGATGCCAGGACCCCATTATTTTGTTTGTTATAAAAGGAACTCATTTTGAGGGTTACAGAAAAATTAGGTTATGGTTATTTAGTGCTTTCTGGAATTTCATAGGGTGGGGCCTTCACAATAAATAGCACATGGAGGACAGAAACAAACACAAGACCTGATAAAGCCCACCAGCGCTGTTAAATGAACCATCTAAAATAAGGCTTTTAGAAGGAGCTGTTAGAACACCTTGGCCTCCGAGGTGCAGGGTGCTCTGAGCACAGAGAGAATCAAGAATCCTCTGTAATTCTCAATTTTATAGTGCAATTTCAGGGAGCGTATCTCTGTTTCAATATATGAAACAGTATTTTAATTCTCTGTAGATAGGTTTTAACACTATCTCAATAAGATTTTATAAGAGAATACAGTACTTTTCCTAAAATGCTCTCCTGAATTACTAAGCATGAGTATGCCTCTTATTACATTCTGATATGAAGTTTCTCTAGGGGAACACGCCACCCATTGGATAATGGCAACAAGACTTTACAACTGCACGGTCCCTGCCGAGCCACCTACCCATCTGCCTGTGGTGCACCACCCGGAAGTTCTTATGCTCTGGAGCTGGTGCTGCCCTGGCTTTCCTGCTTCCTGGGGAAGGCACACATGCTTTGTCTAATGCCCCCAGGGAGCAGCTCTTTCTTGGTCCTTGAGAAAAATGCCTGTGGAGAGCAGGCCTTGACTCTGGAGTCCCTCGAGAACCAGCTCCGGAGCCATCTGTGGTGCTCTCAGGGGCTTGCTCCTGGGTAGGCCGGTAGAAGTCATCTTCAGAGATCCAGTTTCTGCTTTTCTGTTGAGAAAGAAGTAAAGATAGAGATTGTCTGATGTTTAAGGTTTAAAAAATTATATACTATAAAATGACCCCCCCCCCACTTTTTTTGTGGTGCTGGGGATCGAACCCAGGGCCTTGTGCATGCGAGGCAAGCACTCTACTAACTGAGCTCTATCCCCAGCCCAAAATGAACCCATTTTTAAGGGTATATAATTCAATAATTTTGGTATATTCCCAGAGTTGTGCAACCATCCCCTTAATCTAAGTTCAGAACATTTTCATCACACCAAAAAGAAACCCATACCTACTAGCAGGCACCCTCATTTCCCCATTACCATTCTGGCTCTGGGAAACCACTCATCTATTTTCTGGTTTTATAGATTTACACAATCTGGCTATTTCATATAAAAGGTGCTGGGAGCCATTAGCCAAGTAAGTAGGTATGACAATTTCCTTGCCAGCGTACCCCATGTTGCAGTGACATTGAATGTAGGTGACCTTGCTCAAGGACCAAGGTGGATTAGGGCGTTCCGGTTTAGGTTCCAGGTTTAAGGTTTAAGATTATTCCTGCTGGGAATAGGGCGTATCCTGCTGCCTGAGTTCCCCTTGAGTTCTCACGGGATTCAGACAGTATATTTTGGAGATAGAAGCCCAGTGGAGGTGGATTTGGGCAGAGAACGTGGATTTCCCCAGAACGTGATTGTAGACGGCTGGTGTGAGTTCGGGAATAAAGAGTTGCTGTTTGAATCTACAAGCTGTGTGGTGGCTCGTGATTGTGTGCCCAGCCAGACTGCGGCATTTGTGCCCAGCCAGACTGCGGCATTATAAGAACATTTCATAAGCCTCATGGTAGTTATAAAGCAAAAACTTATAGAAGTTATACAAAAGATTAAAAGTGGGGCAGATATTGAGGCTCAGCAGTAGAGTGCTCACCTAGCATATGCGAAGCCCTGGGTTTGGTCCTCAGCATCGCATAAAAATAAATAAATAAAATAAAGGTATTATGTCCAACTACAAATAAAACATAATGTTTTTAAAAAAAGATTAAAAGTAAGGAATTAAAACATATCACTAGACTTTTTTAATAACCATGGAAGAGAGGAACAAAGAACCTAACAATCAGAAAACAAAGTGACAATAGTAAATCCTTACATATTAATAATCCTTACATACCATCTTGGCAGAAAATCAATAAGGAAACTTCAGATTTAAACTAAAATTTAGACCAAATGTATCTATACAAAATATTCCATCCAACATCAGCAGAATGCACATTCTTCTCAATTATACATGGGGCATTCCTCAGGATAGATCCTAGAACAGGCCACAAAACTAGTCTTAACAAATTTAAGAAAATGGATCATACAAAGTATCTTTTCTGACCACAGTGGTGTAAAACTAGAAATCAACAATGGGCAATTTCAAAAACTTCACATACACATGGAAATTCAACAACATGTTCATGGGTCAATGAAGGAAGTGAAATTAAAAGAGAACTTTTAAAATGTCCCAAGATAACCTGGGTATGGTGGCATTCACCTATAATCGCAGCACATCAGGAGGTTGAAGCAGGAGGACCACAAGTTTAAGGCCAGCCTGGGAAACACAGCAAGACCCTGTCTCAAATTCTTTTTTGAAAATTTCAAAAGCTAAGGATATAGCTCAGTAGTGGATTGCTTCTGTTTAATGTACTGAAAAAATGAAATAAAACAAAATGTCCTGAGGCAAATAAAAATGGAAATACAACATGTCAAAACTTGTGGGATGCAGCAAAAATAGCTCTAAGAGGTAAAGCTTATAGCAATAAATGACTACATCAAAAAAGTAAGATCCCAGACTTAAAGAAACGCCCTCTGGAGGAAAGCCAGGAAATCTCAGTGGAGGTGTCTAAAGAGATAAGCATTCCCCTTGGAAGCTTTGGGAAGAGAAATCAAGATGGCAATGAGGATACAGGTGAGGAGTCCCAGTAAGAAGGAAAGCAATCAGACGATGAAATTCAGGAATTATCAGGAAATTTTAATAGATTATGTCTAGCAGGACCAGTGCCAGCTATTCAATTGGGCCACATCCAGTTGGGAGAACAAATTTTAGTAGGTACTTTGAACATGGGTTCAGGAGAGTGCAGGAGGTGGGGGAATACATTAACGGGTTTCAGTTTTTCCCAGTTTTTGAACAGGTTAACGTGCAAGATTAGCGTGTCCACATATATGCTATAAATCCTTTTAAAACTATAAAAGAGTTACAATACCCTTGTGATGTTTACAGCCCTAATTCGCCATTTGTACAAAGCTTGCTCCAGTCAGTTTGTCATCAGCCCCTCCCACCAAGGGATTGGGTATCTATCGCTGGATCTTGCTTGAGCAGTGGAGATTTCCTCCTTTGGAAATCATATTGGATGGATTTTTGTACAGAGCAGGCAGAGAGAAACGGAAGGCAAAATATTGAGACCCCCTTAGAGATGCTTATGGGGACGGGCTAATTTCAGGACTTGGAAAGACAGTTGAATTATGAATTTGCAGTTTATGATAAGATAACCGCATGCGCTAAACTCACGTGGCAACAAATTGCCTCCCAGAACCAGTTTAGTTTAGTTTTGACTAAGATAAGAGGAGCTATATGCCGATTTTGTGCAGCGCCTGTATCAAACGACCAAAGATCAATAGGGGATCCGGGTGCTTGTGAGTTTATTGTTAAGCAGCTAGCCATGGAAAATGCAAATAAACTCTGTCAGGACGTTCTCAGGCCCCATAAGAAAAAAGGGACAATTTCAGAATTCATTATTCCCCTCTGCTTGGATATTCGCCCGACTCACCTACAAGGTTTTATACTTGCTGGGCTTTAAAACAAACACTTCATCAGCAGCCTCAGAAGGTGCTTTTCGTCCTATTTGGGTGCCTGAAAGTGCAATGAGACATGGAGGAAATAGAACCAAGATTCACACGACTGAAGATTGACCCGGTGAACCCTTCCCTCAAAAGGAAGCGATTTCAAAAAAGGAAGAAAATGACCCAGCAAGACCCAGCGGAAAAGCTGATCTCGTGGGAAGACCTGAAGAAGCTGACAACACACGATTCGCGAATGATTCAGCTCCTAGGGAGAAATAAGACTCCAATGATGTTGTTTGCTGCAGTAATAGCATTTACTCAGCTGTCAGGTAAAAGGGAGTCAAGCAGACACTTATTGGACCTGTTTTCCAGATCCACCACTAGTACACCCAGCTGTGTGGACTGGAGAATCCATCCCAGTGTTTACTAATGACCCATTTATGATGGGAGGATTTACAGACACTCATATTTCTCCCAATTATGTGACTGAATTTAATTATTCTGGCTATGGTGCCCAATTACCTTTGTTTTGGTCCCACAATAAACATGATGACTGTCTAAGAGTATCATTTGAGGAAAAGATAGCAATTGGGAGACCTAGACTGATTAATCATACTATTACTGGAGACTTAAAACCTTATACTAGATCAGTTATTAAAATGGGACTTTCTCATAACAAACCAGTCATTTCTGCAGAACCTCCACAAATACCTCATTGTCGGTCCTAACAGTTCTGCAATAGAAATTGGCACCTTTCCTAGATGGAAAGATTGTGTAAATACCTTTCCAGTATAACATAAGGTGTCTAAAGATAGTGGGTATATTTTAGATTGGTCTCCAAAAATTGATAAAAGACAATTATGAAAAAGTTCTGCTATGACACCTGCAGGATTTGTTAGCAATATTTTGACCTACAGTGAAGGTGGTATTCAAAAGGATGTTTGGTGCTTAATTGCTGCCTCAGAATTTTTACATTTTACAGACAAGCCTTTACCAGAATTTGTTGGCAATAACTGTAAGGAAGATTCTTGCTATGGCTTATGAGCCTGTGTTCAATCTCCTTATGTCTTAATTATTGGAAATGTGAAAGTTAAATGGGTAGATGATAGATATATTGTAACATGTAACAAATGTAATCTAATTGCATCACCAGATATAATAGAGGGAAAGGAATGCTGATACTTCATAAGCCCTCTTTTGTCTTATTGCCAGTTAATATTTCAGAACCAGGGTACGCTGATACTGGTTTTCAAGTTTTACAACAAATACATGCCCAGCTAGCAAGACCTAAACGTGCCATTGGACTTATAAAAAAAAAGAAGAAGAAAGAAAGAAAGAAAGGTCCCAAATAAATACCAAATGTTACACCTCAAAGATCTAGAAAAACAAGCATAAACTAAGCGCAAAGTTATTACAAGAAGAAAATCATAAAGATCAGAGTAGAATAAATAAAATGAAGTCTGTATGAAAACAGTAAAACTGAGAGTTGGTTTTTTCAAATGATAAGAAAAAATCAACAAACCTCTAGCTAGACAAAGAAAAATAGGGGACTCAAAATCAAAAACCAGAGATATAAATGATCATAAAAGATTACCATGAATAATCATACTACAACAAACTGGATAACCTATAAGAAATGGATAGATTCTAGAAACATACAACCTGCCAATTAAATCATTAAGAAATAGAAAATCTAAACAGACCAATAACAAAGATGATCATTGTATCAATAATAAAAGTATGGGGCTGGGGATGTGGCTCAAGTGGTAGCGCGCTCACCTGGCATGTGCGGGGTGCCGGGTTCGATTCTGAGCACCACATTAAAAAAAAATGAAATAAAGATGTTGTGTCCACCGAGAACTAAAAAAAAATATAAAATAATAATAATAATAAAAGTCTGCCATCAAAGAAAAGCTCAAGACCAAGGCTTCACTGCTAAGTACTACCAAACATTTAAAGAACACCAATCTTTCTCAAGGGACAATATCACTATTGAATATAGATGCAAAAATTCTCAATACTAGCAAACCACATTCAACAGTACATTAAAAGGATAATTCACAATGATCAAGTGGAATTTATCCATGTGATTCAATGATGGTTCAACATACGGAAATCTACAAATATGATAAATTACATTAACAGAATGAAGGACAAAATCATGTGGTAATTTTAATAAGTACACAAAAACTATTTGATAAAATTCAACATTTTATATACAAATGGTCAACAGGTGTAACAAAAATGTTCAATATCAGGCTGGGGTTGTGACTCAGTGGTAGAGTGCTTGCCTAGCCTGTGTGAAGCATTGGATTCAATTCTCAGCACCACATATACATAAAATAAAATAAAGGCCCATCAACAACCAAAAAAAATTTTTAAATGCTCAATATCATTAATGATTAGAAAAATGAAAATCAAAACCCAATGATATATAACCTCACCCCAGTTATATCTCAGATGTTAAGACAACCGAATACTCTCATGAAAAATAAATATCAAAAAGGCAAAAAATGACAAATGCTGATAAGCATGTGAAGAAAAGGAAATTCTGATACAGTGTTGGTAAGAATTTAAATTAGTACAACCATTGTGGATAACAGTATGGAGGCTCCTCAAAAAAAAGTAGAATTACCATATGATCCAGCTACCCCACTTCTGGGCATACATGTAAAGGAAATGAAATCAGCATACCTGCATTCACATGTTTATTGTGACATTCTTCACAATGAGTAAGATCTAAAATCAACCTATGTTTCCATCAGTGGATGAATGGGTAAAGAAATATGTTACATTTACACAATGGAATATTATTTATCAACAAAGAAGAATCTCACTTCCAGAAAAATGGATGAAACTAGAGCACCTTATGTTAATTAAAAATAAATCAGAGGCAGAAAAACAAATACTGCATGTTCTCTCTCATATATGGAAACTACAAATAATTGATCTAAATGTAGGCTAGTGATTAATAGAAGCTGGGGAGGGTAGGGAAAAGAGAGCATTAAGAGAAGTTGGATAATGAATATCAGAACACAAAAGGAAAGAATTCTGGTGTTCTCTAGCACAATGGAATGACTACATTTCACAATAACCTACTGTATATTTTACATGTACAGAGAGGTACTTAAAGACTCCAAACATGAAATGATAAGGAAAGGGAAATGCTAATTATCTTGATTGGTCCACAATTAATGCATGTGTTTAAATATCACACCATACCCCATCAGTATTTACAATTATTACATGCTAATCAAAAGATAAAATATAATTTTAAAAAAGGTAAATTGAGGCATGATAAAATTTTAAAGAATTTTAAAAGAAAATCAATAGCATTTTTATACACTAACAACAAACTATCTTAACAAATCAGGAAAACAATCTCATTTACAATAGCCACAAAAATAAAAACTACTTAGGAATCAATTTAACTAAGGTGGTAAAAGACTTGTGCACTAAAAACTACAAAACCCTGATGAAAGAGTTATCAGAAGACAAAAATAAATAAAAGAATATCCCATGTTCAAGAATTAATATTGTTAAAAAGGCCATTCTATCTCAAGACAGTTACAAATTCAATATAATCCTTTCAAAATTCCAATAACATTTTCATAGACCTATATAAAAAGTGATCTTAAAATTTGTATAGAATTACAAAAAAAAACCCTGACTAGTCAAAGCAATCTTGAGCAAGAAATAATACAACTGGAAGCATCACACTTATTTCAACTGTACTACAAAACTATAGTAATAAATACAGTATAGTATTGGCATAAAAACAGACATATAGAACAATGGAGCAGAATACAAAGTCCAAAATAAATCCATACAATTATGGTCAATTGATCCTCAATAAATGTATCAAGAACATTCAATGGGAGACAATGTATTCAATAAATGATGTTAAGACAACTGAATATTCACATGAAAAATAATTAAATTAGATGCTTATATCATATACAAAAATTAACTCAAATGAATTAATGATTTAAATAGAAGACCTGAAATTATAAGACTACTAGAAGAAAACAAGAGAAAAGCTCCATTTCAATGGTATGAGCAATTCGTTTTTTGGATATGAACCCAATGGACAGACAATAAAAGTAAAAATAGACAAATGGGATTAAATAAACCAAAAAGTTCCTAGAAGATAAATTAAGGAAATCTCCCAGAAAGCAGAATAAAAAGTTAAAGGAAAGAAAACAATAAGGAACAACAAAAAGAAAAGTTTTTTAAAAATGGAGAACCAGGGGCTGGGGTTGTGGCTCAGTGGCAGAGCGCTTGCCTCGCACATGTGAGGCACTGGGTTCAATCCTCAGCACCACATAAAAATGAATAAACAAAATAAAAATATTGCATCCGTCTATAACTAAAAAATATTTTTAGAAAAATGGAGAACCCGAAAGAGTCTCGACTTATTGTCTGGGATAAGAATTAATAGTGCCTCTTTTCATATTAAAAAAACTTATATAAAAGATAAACTATATGTTCACTTTTTATGACCATGCACAATAACAGATAACAGTGTAAATCCCAGCTCTGTTGTATACTTTTTGTTTGATTTTTATAAAGAATGCTCATTTTGATGTCTAACTCCATAAAAATGGAGAAAATAAGTTTTACTTTGCAGGATTGTCCACCTTGAGCTACTGGCTCTTGGTCACAATCTCATAATCATACTCTAAACCTTTTTTTTTTTCTTTTTTGATACTGGGGATTTAACCCAGAGGTACTTTACCACTTAGCCACATTACCAGCCCTTTTTTATTTTTTATTTTGAGTCAGGGAGTCACTAAATTGCTTAAGGCATGGCTTAGTTGCTGAGGCTGGCCTAGTACTTTTGTGTTCCTCCTCCCTCAGCCTCCTGAGTCGCTGAGACTAAGCCTGGTTCATACTTCGAATCTTTGAGTATGCTGTTTTCTCTACATGTAAGCACCACCTCTGATCCCAAGGAATGTAAACAAAAAAGAAAATAAGCCGAAATAAAGAAGAAAATGACTTAAAAAAGAAATGGAGAACTGGTACTGGCAGTCAAACATAAAAATACCAAGAGATCCAAAAAGAAAAAAATAATAGACAAAACTAAATGACATTTTTTATTTTCCAGAATCAAAGAACACATACACAGCACACAGTTACAAGGAAACATATTTCAAGGTACGCATTACTAAAAATTTAGTACAATTAATGAAAAGAAAATATTCCATAAACTTGAAAGAGAAAAATCAGGTACAACAGAAGGGTCAAGAATTAGATGAATTTAAGATTTCAACAGCAACATGGAAATCTAGAAAATCCACTGGGTATGGTGGTCCACGCCTATAATTCCAGCTCCTGAGTAGCTGAGGCAAGAGAATCACAAGTTTAAGGACAGCCTCAGCAATTTAGCAAGACCCTGTCTCAAAAAAAAAAAAAAAAAAGGGACTAGAGATGTAGCTCAGTAGTAAAGTGCCCTGGGTTTAATTTCCAGTACTAATAAAAGGAGGAAAGGAAGAAAGTGAGGGGGGTGGGGACTGAGGGAAGAAGAAAGAAAAAGAAAAAAGGAAACCAGAAAATCCAAGCTTCGTAGAAAAAAAACTATTTCCAATCTAAAATCCCATGCCAAACTATCAGACAAATGTGAGAAAAGAATCTGATACAGAAGTAAAAAGAGTCTCCAAAATGTGAGTAAAGGAGACCCCAGGATGAGAGTTGTACACAAGATGTAGAGATCAAAAAAATCCATTTCAGTTTTCCAATATGCTATTTGTTGGTCTCTACACCTTTCAGAGTACTCTAAGGAAAATTTTTTCAAGAGCACAAAACTGATAGAAAACCAGGTGCAGTCAAAATTATGAAGAGGATTTTTAACTCATCTGGCAACGTTTGGGGTCAAGTCAATAATAAATACACTTTTAAAAAACCAACCAAATATATAAATGACAACTATTAAAGAAGGAACAAATGTTGCACAGAAGAACAAAGTAATGATATGATACTATATGGGTCAGGTGTGAATAGTGTTTATATAGATTTGTTAATATAAATTCTGAATTTAAAATTAAATAAATTTATATATATGTATACATATATATAAATAAATATATTGGATGGGTGGATAAATATGGGGAAATTGAGTATGTTGGGGACACAGAAAAATGAAACAGAGCTAAATCCTTATTCTTTTAAGTAGGAAGTTTACTATGCCTGCTCAAAATTCTAAAAAATAACATTTAAGTTCTTGGAGGTTGCCAAAACAAAGAAATCATAAGTGTTAGGAAGATTGAAAACTTAATTACCTGACTTGATCGTTATATATATATATATATATATATAATCATCACACTGTGTCCATAAATATATATAATTATCATATCAAATTTTTTATTTAAAAAATCATTAAGTAGCAAAGTAAACATGTTATTAATATAAATACCAAGAAATCAGATAAAACATTTAAAATGATCACCTCCAGAAAAGCTGGGGAAGGACTAAGGCTAGAAGCTACTTTTTATGTAATAAGCTTCATAAATCTTCATAATTCTTAAAATTATGGGAATAGGGTAATTTTAACCAAATGAAATTTAGATAAATGAGAGAATAGATAGTGAGTAATATGATATGCAATAAGAAGAAATCAAAAACAATATACTTAATTAAGAAAAATTAAATACTGATAGAAGGATCAATGTCAGGATGTCAGAATCCCTTACAAATTATAAATTAAATATTATCCTTTTTTTAAATACTAGAGAGTGAACCCAGGGTGTTTTACCACTGTACTATATCTCCATCCCTTTTTTATTTTTTATTTTGACACAGGGTCAGCAGAAGACCTCACTGAGTTGCTGAGGCTAGTCTCAAACTTGTGATCCTACTGCCTCAGCTTCCCGAGTCACTAGGATTACCAGCATATGGCTGGCACATATATTTAATATTACAATCTTGTTTTAAATTTGATGTTGCAATGTATTAAGTGTAAGATAAAAGAAAAATTATGATAGTCGTATTACATAATCAACATTAACAAGGTATATGTAAGAACATTATATCTAACTTTTTATCATCCCTGATTTAGAGGGTTCAACAAAGACTCTCAAAATCCTTTGTAAAACTTATAAATTAGGATTTAATTTAAATACACTATATTTACAACAAAACTTGCTATAGCAACAAGAGGTCCCTTACAAACATCTTCATACGGTTGCTGTAGTTCATTCAAAGCAAATACAATATCACCAATATCCACCATCTGGTTACCTGTAATAGAAATAAATAAGTTCAAATACTGTATTTACTTCTGACACAGATATAGTTTTCACTATATGGGAAGTGGGAACAGAGAACCAGCTATTATGAGTTTTGAATGTTTGAAATTATGAATAAGTGAAGTGAAATATAAAATTAAGATTATAGTTTTGCTTCTTAATAAGAGTTTTTCATTGAAATAGTAGAATTTTAAGCTTCTTTTCTAGATAGTCTATATAACATTTTATTCATTTTACATTTTTGAGCATTTACTACAGGTAGTATTTATTTATTCTTTTGTCTTAATTTCTAAATTGTGAGCGCTTCAAAAATAGAGAATGTGTCCTTTACTTCTGTTTCCCCAATGCCTAATAAAGTACCTAATTCCTATCATTTCGAAATTATTTTCAAACAAATAAAATACACTGGAGGCTATAGATAATGCTAAATAAATAGCAAATAACCATTTATTTAGTACCTTCTATTTACTCATATTTAGCACCTTCTATGTACTTTAACTTCCTACCCATCCTTGCCACCACCCCTGTCTAAAGCCATTTTTCTTCTCAGGCAATGCATGACCAAGAACAAGCTCAGATGCAGTGATTAAATAATGTCATTCCAATCGTGCACAGAGGTAGTATAAAAATTTTTTCACCCAAGTATTGGTTTCCCTTGTCGTCCAAGGTGAAAAGGCCCAGAAATAATTCAGTATTATTACCTATAATAATACTGAATTTGTTCTTTAGTCCACTGTTCAATAATATGTGTTAGTGAGCACACTGAGAGAAGTGGTTTTTAAGAGACTTCTGAATCTAAGAAGAATTAAATTAGGTGCAATATAGTTTAATGTTGAATAAGCTTGATTCACTCTGATTCTCTGAAAATTGATAAAGCTATGTATGTCAAGTACAGGCCTTCAAATTACTGCAAAGCAAGTATATATTTGAACCAATCAAAGAAATGTTAGACCAAATTGATGTTAAATCACCTTCTGATCAGGAATTGCCGCCTACATTCTAGTTACTCACTTCCTTAGTATTTTACTTCATTCTGTTCTTGATTATGGTTCTCTACCATATCCCGTCATCTACCCAGGAAATTCCCTGCTGTAAATTGAGTGATGCCACCATTTGTTCTTAGGTTAAGTCTTAAGTCAAGGCTTTATCCCTCAAAACACTTAAATTTTACCACTCAAAACTCTTCTGTTGGATCATATGTATATTAATAATGATGACCATATTATCTTTATCTGCTCTCCATTTATAAAACTCCTTATCTGTCCAGCAGCAACTAATGAGAATGTGATAGCCAACAATTTCTATAGATTCACTAGCTCTTGCTCAATATTTACTCCTTGCTTCTGTGTAATAATAGATACCTATTAAAAAAAAAAAAAACTATCTATTTAAATAGTCCCTGGTGGCCAGAGAAACATTCTAGAATCTGAAATGACTATTTAGGCCCCTACCTGGCTCACCACAACCATAAAGAATAATTCCTGTTTGTGACTAAGTTAATCAATAAAGTTCATTTATTTCATAAGGGAAGTTCAGATCAGCCTCCTACTCATATATGTACTTCTGGAAGAAATTCATCCTGGAAAATACAACTATCTAATGAGAGAAAAAAATGACTGTAATCATTAAGGTCATATATAAGTTAACATTACTCTGAAGGTGCTGAGTAACCATTAACACTGCATTTCAGTAATCCTCAGATAACTCCACAATATCAACAAACCTCCTCTAGCAAAAATTGTGTTAGTCACACTTTTCACCCAGTTCCATTTCCAGATCACTAATTTCCCTAAGAGGAAAAAAAACTGTTATACCAATACTCTATTTCAGAAACCAAAATAACTGACACTTCAAGAACTGCCATCAACTGATTTTCCATTTTCTTTTTGCTATTTCTCTTTTTTTGGAAATTACTTTTATTATGTTGTAATATTTGTTCATGAGCTGTAATTACTTATGTGAAGGAGAGTCCAGAAAACAGATCTGTGACTGTGTTAGCCTTGTCCTTGATTGCAGAGACTTATGAATCACACAGATTAACACTGTTGACTATCGTAGTCACTGAAGATCCAACAGGCTATCAGCTGGAAGACCTCCATATCTGTCCAGCTGTTTCCATCAGATCACAAGACTTAGGAGTGTGGATAAATACATTTTGCTCTCTTGAATTTAAAACTTTACAACAGTTCAAATGCCCTTCCCTGAATGCATAAGTTCAAAAACTTCATTAATTTGATTCAAGGACGTGCTGCCAGTCACAAATTCATCAATTTTTATCTTTTTGGATATATGTTCAGACACCAACTTATGGATACTTCCTACACTCTTCCATCCTCCAAAGACAGTGCCTTTCCATGTACGACCTGTCACCAGCTGGAATGAACGAGTGGCAATTTCTTCCCCTGAAGCAGCTACTCCAACCACCATGCTGACCCACAGACTGTGGCATGCCTCAGGTGCTGCTCTCATGACCTTCACATTACCAATACACTCAAAGGAATAGTCCAACTCCTCCATCAGTCATCTCAATGAGCACTTCCTGGATGGGTTTACTGAAGTCTTGGGGATTAATACATTTAAAGGCTCCAAATTCTTTGGCCTTTGCAAATTTACCTTTATTGATATCCACACCAATAATCTATGAGGCACCAGCAACTTTACAGCCCATGATAGCTGCCAAGCCAACTCCTCCTAGACCAAAGACCACAAAAGTAGAGCCAGGCTCCACCTATCTTCTGGCAAAGGTTTGTTTTCAGATTTAGACAAAATTTTCTCCACACTGTAGGATGTAAGGTGGAACGACGGTATCACCTGCTTTCAGCTTAGTAACTCCTTCACCAACACTTTCCACAATTCCAGACCTTCATGTCCCAAGATCACTGGAAAACACCCTCAGGATCAGCTTCACACAGAGTATAAGCATCAGTGTGGCAAAGTGCAGTGGCAATGATTTTAATTCAAACTTCATGAGACTTTGCAGGTGCTACTTCTACCTCCTCTATAGACAGAGGTTTTTCAGCCTCCCAGGCAACTGCAGCCTTGAACTCAATAACCTAATTCACCATGTCCACCTCTTCTTGCATTTTTCTGAAAATTCCAAAAGCACAATTCCTTCCTCTTCATTAAGAAAATTCATAAAAATGAACATTTTATCTGCCTGTCATCATTACTCCAAAAATAAACCAAATGCAAAAACAAGGTGTTAAAACAGTATCTATAATGCTGTTTCCTTTTAGAAAGGTAACTCAATTATATTATTCTTTACTTCAAAATTCACCTGTATTTTCCATGTATGTTTTATATGTCAAAATACATTCTGCTGTCATGTATGACTAAAAAAATAAAAATAAATCGTATGGTAAAAAAAAAAATTCACCTGTATCTTACAGGGGTGACCCAAATCTTTCAGCATCCAAAATTCATTATTTCCTTTACTATTAAACCAATACAGCTCAGACCCCAGACCATATACTAACATAAATCAATACCTGTCCAAAATTTAAAGATACCTGAGTAACTTATACTCCTTCAATTGATTTTTGTTTTATTTTCTATTCCCATAGATTCTTTTCCCATATTTTTATTGGTGTGTTATGGTTGCACATTATGGTGGGATTCATTGTTACTATTCATATGTGTACATAATACAACTTATATAACTTGGCTAATATTGGTTCCCATTATTTCCCCTTCCAGTTCCTTTCCCCTATTCTACTGATATCCCTTCAATTTTCATGTGATACACACACACACACACACACACACACACCTGTCTCTTACTTTTTCCTCTCTAGCTTCCATGTGAGAAAAAAAAATCCTATCCTTAGCTTTCTGAGTCTGCCTTATTTTACTTAATATATTATTATCAATCCATTTTCCTGCAAATGTCATAATTTCATTCTTCCTTATGGCTGAATAAAAACTCCACTGTGTATATGTACCACATTTTCTTTATCCATTCATCCATTGATGAACACCAAGGCTCATTACATAGTTTGGTTATTATGACTTGTGCTGCTATAACATTTCCCATAGATTCCTCCCCGGCCTCCTCCTCCTCCTCCTTCCCCTTCCCTCCTCCTCTTCCTCTTCCTTCTTCTTCTTCTTTGTACTAGGGATTGAACCCAGTGGCACTTAACTGCTGAGCCACATCCCCAGCCCTTTTTTATATTTTATTTAGAGACAGAGTCTTGCTAAGTTGCATAAGACTTTGTTAAATTGCTGAGGCTGGCCTTGAACTAGCACTCCTTCTGCCTCAGCCTCCCAAGCCCCTGGGATTACAGGCATGCTCCCATCGATTCTTGATATCACATTATCACCTTCTATAGGTACTAACCTTTCTCTATCTCAAAGAAACCCAAAATAGAATCTACAGGTCTTTCTCCCTTTAAATTCCCCTATCAACAACACTAATACAAGACTAAAACTTTTACTGATAATTTAAAATTAAGGAGCATGATAAGCAAGTATATACTATAGCCCTAAAGTTTTATGGCTTCTCTCTACCACCCCTACTCAGCCACCCACTTTTAGGTTCTATCAATCTTCCTGCACTACTAAGCTTCTATTATATACTAAATTCCTATTGTTTTCATTTGTAGAGTATTTCACCTTACCTTTTTGCTCAGTCTAGGTGTTTCCAGTAGATTTTAGTTCCCATAATCAAACATTCCTATTAAGATGATTTTCATAACTAAAAGACAAGTACCTTCCTTATGAGAATTGCAGCCAACTTATAAATATAACAAAAGGAAGGACATATTATTCTTTCTAATTGGAAATGATGAAATAAGGGGTCAGAATTATTAATTAATTTAACAAGTATTTGTTGAGCAATTAATATGTACTAAAAGCATTTTTCTAGGTACTGAGAATATAATGTTAAGCAAAAGTGGACATGTTATCTGTCCATTTGGTGTTTAGTTTCATTTAAGATACAAATGTTAAAAAAATTAAAAATATAATTTGCAACTGTAATTAGTACTATGAGAGTTTATAACATGAGATAAGTGAATAAGAAAATCCTTGAAGAATAGATGGTTAAATTTCGATCTAAAGTGTAAGTAGGAAATGACTAAAGTATAAGTAGGAATTAAGTAAAAGAGAAATGTTCAAGGATGAAAAAATAATATATGCAATGGGTATATGAAAGGAAGGGGCTTGATGTATATAGTTGAAGCTCTAAAAAGGCACAGAGCAAGGGAGAATAGGTCTGAGGTAAAGCTGAAGATCTGGGTAAAGGTCAGACCATGCAAGGCCTTATACATACATTACCTTAAAGCCACCCTAAACAGCTCTTGTCCAAGAGCTATTATTGGATTTTATGCAAGGAGAATAACAAGGTCATATCTGTGCTTTGAAAACATCATTTTATTTGCAGCATAAAAAGGATAAATGTGGATATGAGTAGATTTGCAAGGATGAACTGCAATTGTCCTAAGAAAAGTTTATAGTAACTTGAATCAAAATGGAGAAATAGAATGATTTAATAGATATCTAGGAGTTTAAAATAAGTCAACTTTTCCAGGCACAGTGATGCAAGCCTGTAATCAAACCCAGTAACTCCGAAGTCTGAGGCAGGGGACTACAAATTCAAAGCCAGCCTGGGCAACTGAGCAAGACCGTATCTAAAAATAAAACATAAAAAAGGCTGGGACTATAGCTCAGTGGTAGAGTGTTCCTGGGTAATAGCCCCAGTACCACAAAAATATATACATACACACATACATGCATAAGAGAACTTTATAATGATTGCTTGAGAATGAGAAAGCAATGAAGTTGTCAAAGATGACTCTTAGGTTTTTGCTTCACCTTCCTTGAGCTTGTTCACAGTGCCAAGCACTGTGATACTTGTTCATATTTAATTCCTACAATAATCCTATGAAAATATTATCATTTGTCCAGCCTATTTCCCCAAATAAAGTAGGAGATCTGGAGACCCAGACTAGAATTTCATAAGCCAAAAAGCAAAGTGTTGCAACAGTTTCATGTATGATTTCTCTTGCTCCTGGTAGGGTATATCCTAAAGAATGTTTAATAATATGGCTTATTAGTACTTAAAATCTCTATTTTATACATATTTTCATATTTCAATATATCCCTCTACTAATGTTACCTCCTATATATTCCTCCACTCATATCTACGACTCCAGAGCCCAATAACAACCTAACCGAACTCTATGACACCTGGTTCTACCTCCAGACCACATATCAGCAGCCAAACACCTACTACAAAGCCACCACTAATATACAAAACCAGTGAAACTCATTGAAAAGGATGCCATGTCTGATTATTTTTCTGTCATATTTATATAAACTGTTCTCTCAATCTAAAATGTTTTTCTCACCCTTTACCACTTCTGTTAACCAATTAATCCCTATTAATTCTTCAAGATTTAGCTCAGACATTATCTCCTCTAATAATCTTTCCCTGGGGCTTCCAATATGTATTAGCAGCCTATGTACATTCTATTATAGTACTTGTCACAGAGCATTACTTGACTCTTTCACACTAGAATGTGAGCTCCCTTAGAACAAGAACTGTGTTCTATTCTACTTTGTATCACCTAGCACAGGTCCAAGTACAATAGATATCAAATTAGCGATTATCTGACTCATTAAATGAATGAATTAAATCAGTTAATCAATCACTAGTCTGTTTATTAGAGAATAACCCTTGGACAAATATATTTAATATAAAACATCTGCTAAACATTTATAATATTTTAAAGTAATCTACATTGTGCAAACAGTAATTGAACAGCATAGCAATTAATCCAAACTACATAATAAAATTGAGAATTCAAGAAATTTAGGTCTTGTAGTGCCAATACTCTTGATACTACAAGAAACTACCTCTCTAAAAAAATAAGAAATAACTATTGAAAAGCGAGATGATGTTATAAAAATTTTTAAATCCATTTTACTCTTAGACCAAACATATCAAAAATAAAACATTTTGTTTAAGTTTTCAAGACTATCTTTTATTATAGACACCAGTAAGCAGTGGCAGTGGCAGAAGGTTAAGAATCAAGAATGAAAACACAGAAACAAAAGATAAATCACAAAATTAGTATCTAAAATTCAAGTAACTCACGGTCAGTATAGGAATATTTGATCACTTCCTGCAGTGTGTCAGGGTTTACAAAGATATTCATGCTACTCAAAACAGCAACTACTTCATCAGTAGGAACCCAACCATCTTTTATCCTAGAAAAAATCTCCAAGGCTTTCTGGAATGCTGTGAAAAACAATAAACAAAGAAATTTTTGTACCACGAGAATCAACAGCTTTCCCTGGATAAAAAAACTGATTTTGTGACAGTAACCATATAGGGAAAATAACCTTACATAAGCGTGAGGTTTTCTAAATATTCACCTATAAGTAGGCATTTTCCAATTCTGGTCACATTTCTAGAATAAATTCTAATTTTTGCTATTATAAATATTAATATAATATCAATAACAATAGCTAGTATTTATTGAATATTGATCATGTGTCAAAAACTGCACTAAAAGCTATGAGTTAGCTCATTCAATCATCACAATAGGCTTTTATCTCTACTTACAGATATGAAAACTAAGGCTTAAAAAGTCCCCTTCAACTCACAGCTAGTATGCAGAAGAGTCAAAATACTAATCTAACAATATTAATCCACAATGCTTGCTTTTAATCACTATACTATTTAACTCTTAAAAATTTTAATTAAGACAATTTCTTACCAATGGTATAATCCACAATAGCAAATCATTTAATACACAATCTGAAGGAGTTGTTAATTGCTTAAAAATGAAAATTTTATTAGAAAAGAAGAATGATAGAGAGGCGAAATTTCTTTTCAGCTGTTTTATCATATTACAAAGAGTTTAGCAGTAGTTTAACCACTACTATAAGGTTTCTTTTTTCTCAGAAATTTAATATTATTATGCTAGCAATTCTTTTTTTTTTCATGGTTTCTTAAGAGAGATTTTATTTTTTTAATCTGAAAGACTAAATACATACAGTGGACAAGGCAATATGTGACAAGTGTGATGTCATGTATTCAAAGTGTTTCAGAAATTCAAAGATCATTTCCACATTGGAAGTGGGCAGGTATAGGAATGGTCACAGGAGAGATGTTGAATTTTCTATGATCCCTAGTGATTGAAGAGGGATTTATAGAGGGAAATTAGTAAATATTATGCTAGCAATTCTAACATCAAAAATGAATTGGAGATGCTAGGGCTGTAGCTCAGTGGCAGAGCACTTTCCTCGCACATGTGAGGCACTGGGTTTAATCCTCAGCACCACATAAAAATAAATAAAATAAAAGCAGGCTGTCCATATACAACTACAAAAAAAAATTTTAATGAATTATAAACATGGTTAGAAGAAAATGCACACACCAATCAAGAATTTTTCACTAAAAAGCTTTCCTGAAAACTTAAATGGAAAGCTGTGTCCAACTGCTAAATTAAATACTCCTCTGACAACACATCCCTTAATTTACCTTGATTAAAACATACACACACACACACACAAAAAAAAAATTTTCCTTAACTAACTCCAGAAAACAAATCACTTTATAGTCAGATTAGATTTTCTTGGAACTCAGGATACAATAAGCATATCAATCTTTGGATAAACACAACCAAGAAGGGAAACTGAGCATTATGTATTCATCCAACTAGTAGTTATTGATAAAGTTAGACAAAATAACAAAGGAAAAAAATCCAAAAAAAAAAAATCTTCCTCCATTAAAAGCAATGAGAACACTGGCAAAAATTGTCACAATCAACTTTTTTCAAACTTCTAGAAATAAAACAAAGGCTTCTAGCAATCCAAGAAGTGTCCTCAAAAGAAAAAAAAAATGGATGGCTCTCATTAAGAAACAGTGAGTTTTGTGACATTTTAACTTGCTCTATTCTCATCTCCTTGTCCCCAAGTTCACAGGAACCTTGAAAAACAAGAGCCAATAATCATGATAAAAATGTGTGTGTGTTAGCAAAGTTATTATTTCTTTATTCAGAAGAAATAAAAGAAAGTTAATAAATTCTATGATTAAATTTAACATTCTTATTTCAAAAAATATATCACTCTAAAATTAAAAGAAAAACAATGCAGAAGGAGGAGGCTGAGGCTCTGGCTCAGCAGTAGCACACTGCGTGGCATGTGTGAGGCACTGGGTTCAATTCTCAGCACCACATATAAATAAATAAAATAAAGGTCTATCAACAACTAAAAAAATATTTAAAAGAAAAAAAAACATTATAATAGGAAAAAACATTTGTAACAAAGAATCAGCAGCCAGAATATGAAAACCCTAACAAATCAATAAGAAATAAACAAGACAGTTTTTAAAACGGACAATAAACATGAAAAGACAATTTATAGAAAAAATATATATAAATACCCAGTAATTATGTTAAAAATGTCAAATTTCACAATTAAGAAATAGAAATAATGAGACATCATGTGGGGGGGGGGAGAAATGTTAGCAAAACCTCCCGTTTTCTTAAAGTAAAAGACATTTATATTTTTCCGGTCATTTTCTGGAGAGATTTCTAGATTCCCAACTTTTACAAGTTCTAGGTCTTCTAACTCTCCTCTACCTGGTAATTGATAACTCATTTTTTCTTGACAAGACATGCATAAACTCTGTTAAGTGTGTGTGTGTCCATTGTGGCATATAAAAAGGATTTTTAAAGTCAATATTAAACTATAGCAAGGTAGGAAAAGTTAAAGAGGGTCTTTTGTAGGTTTATACACATATTGCTTGGATATTTTATAAAAATAATAAATTGTTATATTTTGTTTTAAAAGGAAAAAAAAGAAATGTGAGAATCTTTGATTAGTCTCAGAACACTTCAACCGCAAATAGAAAATAAGATCAATATAGGAAGCCAGGACTTAAAAGAGCAAGGAATATATTGAAGTCAATAAGCTATTCTCACTAGTGGTTCAACAAGAAGGCAGTACTTAGGAATCCACACATGAACCTTTAGTCAGGAACAATTTGTAAGTCAAAAACCAAGTAGACAAAGAATATCAAGAAAAATCTCAATGTTATAAAAGTTAATCAAGATGTCAAGTAGGAAATAAGTAGTCAAAAAGGAAAAGCAAACCAAGCATCATCTTACATGCATTGTTCATTGCTATATAAGGTAGACATTTAGTAACATTTATTACATAAGTGAATAAACAATTTTTCTTGCATATTTGCATGCTTTTCTGGAAATACAAGGACTATCAAATTCAAACATCTTTGATTCTAAGAAAAAAGAGTCTGTTAACTATAAAATTAGATAATACCAACAATTGCTCAGGGAAACTTGATCTTACCTAATGAAGAAGCCAAGAACAAGTCATGAATATTAGAGGTCTCAAACTTGTAGAAGTACTGTTTCTATCATTAACATGAATACTCCATTCAATCACTATATTTACAATTTATTTATAATGTAAACTAAGTCGTTAGGCAAACCATAATATCCAAATTTTCAGGGAGAAATACAAGCAAATTCCTGACAGAGTAAATGAATTGTTATGTTTTGTTTTAAGAGGAAAAAACAAAAGAAATGTGAGAGTCTTTGATTAGTCTCAGAATACTTCAACCAAATAGAAATACTGTCAGGGGTAGAGAAGAAATACGAAACTTCAACAGAAAACACCCCCCCCCACACACACACACACACAAACACACAAACACACACACACACATACACACACACACCACACATAAAAGTAAGAATGAAATTGACATGTATGGAGATTAATTAGACTAATTAACCTGGGAAAATTTCTGTGGAAAAACAAGTGCAAGCAAAATTTTAAAGATGTGAGGAAGCTTAGCATAAAAATTTATATAATAGGAAGAGCATCTAAATTATTTTTTTAAATTGGTTCTTTTAGTTATATATAACTAAAAAGCTCCTTCACAGTAAAAGAAACAGACAAGAGCATGAAGAGAGAGCCTACAGAATGGAAGACAATCTTGCCACCTGTTCCTCAGACAGGGCATTAATTTCCAAGATATACAAAGAACTCAAGAAACTTAACACCAAAAAACAAAAACAAATAACCCAATCAATAAATGGGCAAAAGAACTGAACAGACCCTTCTCAAAAGAGCACCTAAATTCTTGAGCAAGAAAATGGCATGACACAAGTAGTGTTTAAAACAAATTAACTCATAACTGGAGATAGAAAGGATGTTGTGGCAATGATCCAGACTTTTTAATGTCTTTGTGAGAATGGGAGAGGACTCATGTCTCACTTTCCCAGTGAGAGATTCTGAAAAAACAAATTAATATGCCCACCCCACCCTAAAATTAGTTACTATCAAAACATTCTCTTCTATACTTTTGAAGAATAGTCTTTTTACCTGAATCCTGAGAGGTCACATAAGAAATATCATTCACAGCCTTAAGGAAATTTGAAAAATCCAGCATTCCATTAACTATAAAAATGGTTCAGAAAGAGAAGGAAAAAAATCCCATCAGCAAATAATATCAGTAAACTCATTAAAAACATAAAATAAAAATACAAGCTAAAAAATGTAAATAGGATTAACTGATGATGTTAGAATACCATTGTCTGTACACAAGAGCAGTCAACAATAACACTATATGTAAAGAAAACTTACCAGAAAAAAAGTTACGTGTTATAATTAAATAGTAAATAGTGCACCAGCAATAACAGAAATGCTATGAACTAGGACTGTAGATCTGTAATGATCTCGGTTTAAGACTCTAATGTTTATATTTATAATTAGATGTAAAAAAAAATATATATATATATATATATAAAACATGCCAATTTTACCTGAGAAGTGATTAAGCATAATGGGTTTTATACTTAGAGGATAGAACTGATTTCACTGTGCTATAGAAAAGTGGTTCCAAGCCTTTCTGGGGAGGTTAGGGATCCAGTTGAGATTCTTGTAAAAGATTTATCTCACCTCATTTCTTTCCCTCTCCCCATTAAAATACATGAACAAAATACTGCACAATATTAAAATAATACTTACCAGAGAAGTCATCTCATTTTTCATGTAAAAAATAATGACTATTTCTTAAAAGAAAAAAAGAAAGGAAATCTAAATTGTACAAATGATGATTTTTATAAGAAATTGTGGTTGTTTGGTTTGAAAAAGAAGTTGAAATTATGCAGTGCTTTTGTCATGAGGGTGCATAAGTCATCTCTAATGACAGTCAGAGATGAAAATCCTGATTCACAAAATCTGCCAAAGCACAGAATCGGGGTTTTTAAAATTCACTTTCTGAACAAAAATAGATCCTTATCAAGAAAAATCAATTTGTCGGGGCTGGGGATGTGGCTCAAGCGGTAGCGTGCTCGCCTGGTGTGCCTGCGGCCCGGGTTCGATCCTCAGCACCACATACAAACAAAAATGTTGTGTCCGCCAAAAAACTAAAATAAATAAATAAATATTTAAAAAAAAAAAGAAAAAAGAAAAATCAATTTGTCAAGATTCTTCAAGTTAAATAATTTTGATTTCATTTCTTTCTGTCTTTAAATAAATGAGGTTAATTTTGTCAGGATTTATAGATCAATGATGCTATGGACACCAGAAAAAAATAATTATAAATCTGCATTTCTATTTAATGTCATCTGAGCAGAAGTAAAAACACTTCAGTGCTTCCATCCAATTGCCTCCAGGCTTCTAACTGCAAAGAAACTGAAAAGGCTTAATTGCTCTCATTTCCATACCATAAAAATACTTTCTTCAATATTAGGAAGCTTGTTATCTGCCTCCAAATTTCTTCAGTGTAACAACTTGAAAGAGGGCTCTTCTTTCCTTCAAAATTAGTGAAACATCTGTCCAAATTTTAATCAACTACTTGACTTGTTTTCTGACTTCATTGTGACCATTTAGGCAAAGAGCTTTCAGATAAGACATCAAAAGCACAATCCATAAAAGAAAAAAATGTAGACTGGACTTCATCAAAAGTAGGAACTTCTGCTTTTTCAAGACATTCTTAATGAAAAGACAAGCCAGACTGGAAGGAAATATTTTACTAATCACTTATCCAATAAAGGACTTGCATATAATTCTACTGCTAGGTATTTACTCAAGATAAATGAAAGAATATAATCATAAATATATATAGATATATAAGTGTTTATTCTAGTTTTATTTGTAATATCCCAAACTGAAAACAAACCAAAGTCTTTCAATTCATAGATGAAAAAACAAATCATTGTATATCCATATAATGGAATAGTATTCTGCAATAAAAACGAATGAATTATCAATACACATAAAAGCATGGATAAACCTCAACATAAGTTGAAGTGAAAGAAACCACACTAAAAAAAGTAAAAACTGCACGCTCCATTTATATAAAAATTCTAGAAAATATAAACTAATCTACTGTGACTGAAGCAGGATGGGATTTGCCTAGGAATGGATTTGGGATGGAAAAAGAAACTAAAGGCTTAAAAAAGAATATAAAGAAACTAGAGGTGATGAATAAACTCATAATGTTGAATATAGTGTTTCATAGGTGAATACATATCTCAAAGTTTATCAAATTGGACACTTTAAATATGTGCAGCTTATTGTATGTCAATTATACCTTAATAAAACTATATGCAAACTACTCATAAATATATCAGAGAATTTCATGTTTTCTTCAATTTCTTGACAAAAACTCTTGAAAAGGAAATAATTCAAGGTTCTGATGCAGATGAAGATGACAACTTTAACAGCTATATTTCTTCTAGAACATTTGGCAAAATAAATATCGCTGTGAAGCAATGAGCCATGACATATTCAAGGGAAATGTCAGAGCTATTAATTTTTCTAATATCTCCTTCAAAATTCTTTTTAAAAGTATCAAGAGTTCTGGAGTGAATTGAGGTATTTTATGGAAATTTATTTTCAAATTTTTTTCTTTTATCCAAGTCACAGAGTAAGTTAACATTCCCAGGGCACACAAACAAGATCTTGCCAATCATGTATGACTCACATAAGGGATAAACATCCTTCTAGGATATTTAAAGATAAGATGTGTGCTCAAGAAAATCCAAGTTTGAACATTTTCCCACTATTAATAATCAAGGCTTCTCACAAAAAAAGATCCACGCTTTGTGATAAGTTTTCAGGATAGATAAGAAAATACATCTTCAGTTTCATGTTTCCATTGCCAAGAAATATCTTTTAAAAGAAGCACAGTTTCTGCATTACATTGTATTGAGAGATGAAAAATAAAACCAAGATTTGCAGGTTTTGGGTACTTTTTCTCTGTCATTTTAAACTTAAGTTAGGTTGATATAAACAAGGATGAATATCTATAATCATAATGACATATGTGCTTTTCTTAATTCCTATCAAGAGCAAATAGTGCAATCAGGCATAAAATATTGACTTGATGACATACATGCTACCTGATCTTATAAATTCATTAACTTATTCCATTCTATATTTGTTTCAGGCAAAATAATACCTTAATAACATAATTTTACATAAACCATTTCCCATAGGTAATTTTAAAAATGGTAAAGAAATCAAATTTAAAAATCACATTGAGAGGGACCACTTAATGGACTACCTGAAAATCACCCATGGAATTTCTAAAAATAATAACTTATAGTCAATATAAATAGAATTTAGAACTCATACTTCTAAAGGACACTCATGGTCATTATGGGGGCGCTAGACTTAGGGAAACTTTGTGTGAGGAATAGGACAATTTTGCAATACCTGTCAAAGTGTTATATTCTTTAACTCAGCTTTCTTATTTCTAAAAATCTGTTCTATAGAAATGTTTGAACAAATGTGAAAGAGTTTATGTACAAATGTTCTTTAGGCATTATTATTTGTAGGAGCAAATATTTTAGAGGTAACTTCACCATTAATCAATATGAGACTGATTAAAATCACATATTTAGTGATTTGCTACACCCTCAGGACTTTTTAAATGTAGGACTGATATCATTATTTAAATTTGTCATTTTTAAATTTTATTTTGAGACAAGGCCTCACTAAATTGCCAAGGCTTGCCTCAAATTTGTGATCCTCCTTCCTTAGACTCTTGAGTAGCTGGGATTACAAACTGAATAAACTTTTAATATAAGTATTGGCTATATGTGTTTTCTTTTATGAAAAATACTTTTATGTAAAATATGTCTTGCCTATTTTTCTACCTCATTGTTTGCTATTAATTTGTACGGGTTTTTTTAAATGGTCTTAAAACTAATTCTTTTTCACTTGTGTGAAATTCAAATATCTCCAAGTTTGTAACATGTTTTCACTTTAAGGTGTTTTTTGGCAAACAAAAGTTTTTTTATTTTAATATGGTCAAATATATAAAATTTATTAACCTCTTCTTATAAGCCCAAACTCCTCCTATTACACTCAAACCTTTTTTGCCTTGTTTAAGAAATGCTTCCTTATTTCATAGTACCACTTTATAAAATGTAATTAATAAAAGTAAATGTCTAAACTGGTGCAGTGGTGTACCCCTATAATCCCAGCGATTTGGGAAGCTGAGGCAGGAGGATCCAAGTTCAAGGCCAGCCTCAGCCACTTAGTGATGCCCTCAGTAACAGCAAGACCCTGTCTCAAAATAAAAAATAATAAAGAGTTGGGGATGTATTTCAGTGGTTAAGGGCCCCTGGGTTAAATCCCCAGTACCAAAATAAAATAAAATAAAATAAAATCATGTATACTAAGAAAACCAATTTTAAAAAAGTTTAAACATGGAGCTGGGACAATAGCTCAGTGGTAAAGTGCTTGCCTCGCAAGTGTGAGGCACTGGGTTCAATCCTCAGCACCACATAAAAAAATAAAAATACTATGTGTTCAATTACAGCTCAAAAAATATATTTTTTTAAAAAAAGTTTAAACACACCAAATATTGAAAAGAAAGTGGATCCACAGGATACCTTACTTGGGTATATTACTTACTAGTGAATATGTAAAGTGGTACAACTTCTTTGGACAACAGTATGGCATTAATTTATATACCTATAGTTTAGTAACTCTACTTATAAGTATATACTCAAGAATAACCCTAGTACATACATATCAGGAAACCTGTCATGCCAAATACTTTTCACAGTAGCAAAAACTTAGAAAGAAACTCAGTGCTCATCAATGAGAGAGTAGATGGATAAGATGTGATATATTCACACAATATTATGCAAATGACTAAACAAACCAAAAGAAGCATGAAACAATACGAATAAATCTTAGTCATCTAATAACTGAAAAAGCCCCAAAAGATTCATACATTATGATAAATTTTTTACTAAAGTTTCAAAAACAAAAAAGTTATAATTCTTATCTATTTTACAGAAATATATATCCATAACAATAAAACTATAAAAAGAAAAGCAAGAAAATAATAAGCTAGGACTCAAAAAAATGCTTACATCAGGTTGGGAAAAAAAGAATGGGTTATTTAATAAACTTTATGGATAGGTGAAAGTTTATTATCAAGGTCCTAGTTTTCATTTTGGGTGGTCAGGTCAGATATTTATTATATTATTGAATACCACTGCACAACTAAATATGATTAAGTTAACCATCCATAGACCAATGATGAGAATACATTATAATCCAATCTGGAAATCAGTAAAATTATGTGTACCTGAGGCCCAATTTTTATTAAAAAAATTATTGACCCATTATCATCAGATAATGTTTTTAAAACAAAAGTGTTTTAGAACATGTGACAAAAATTATGTTTTATAACATTTTAAAGATTATCTTTCATATAATTTACAATATGACCAGCTTAAATTAATATGGAAAAGAAAAAAACTTACCATTGATATCAATAGTCTTTAGTGCCTGTAGCATTTCTGAATCACTTATAGAAATCTTCAAGGTACCAAGGACCATTGGCAGATCATTCACATAAATCTTACCACTTTGAATTTTACTAAAAATTTTACAGGCTTTAAGAAGTTCTGCACACACATAACAAAACATTTAGTTAATTAATTCAAAAGAATAAATATCCTTATTCCCCCTACTCTCTTGAAAAAAATAATCATTAAAAGAAGAAAGGGGAGTAAACATTTGTTTCTCAGATTCTTTAAAATCTAGCTCATGATTTATTTAGATATATCTGGAGACATTGAGAAATTGTCAGAAAAGTCATGCAAAGATCACATAGGAAAAGGTTTCCCTGGAAATTTTTAATACTTCCTCTGTGCTCTCATAGCACTCAGTATCTACCTCAACCAAATATCTTGGTATCATAGACTGCTTGCATATCGATATCATTTACTGAACTGAGGCAAGACTTTTCATTCTTTGGTTTCCGCTCCTACTTCAGAATAGAATATCAAAAAAAAAAAATCTGTTGAACTAAATTTGGTATAGTTCAGTAACTACTAAATTTTATTTTCAGGAAACAGCACTGAATACAAAAGAAAGATCTTTTAAATTACAACAGTGACTTTATTAATAATAAAAGTTTTACTGGAATACTGGATGTGAAGCCAGATTTCAGTGAAATGGGAAGCAAAAAAAATGGAATAACTAATGAAAACAACTGAAGACACTTCTCTGAAAAGTAATGAATATAAAATTGGTAAAGAAAAGATCCTGTGGAAGCAAAAAAAAAAAAAAAAAAAAATGAACCCAAGTTAGAAGTGAAAGAATTAGTCTGGTGACAGAAAAACTTTTCCAAAGAGATAAAAGGGAAGACTATGGATGGTGTTTAAAGGTAAGTTTATGGGTAGGAAGAGCAAGGAGTTTAGGAAGATTCCTCCCAACAAACAGCCTTTATGAAAATTCTGAAATAAATAAAGCTACATGATCCAGCAATCCCACTTCGGGGTATTAATTCAAAACAACTGAAGTCAGAATCTCAAAGAGACATTAGCATTTCCATGTTCATGGCAGCACTTTTCACAATAGCCAAGATGTTGAAACAGCCTGAATGTCCACCAAAAGATGAGTGGATTTAAAGGAAAAAAAAGTGTAGTATATACACATAATGGAATATTATTCAGCCTTTAAAAAGAAGAAAATCATGTAATACACTATAACATGGATGAGCCTAGAGGACATTATGTGAGTTAAATGAGCCAGTCATAGAAGGACAAATACTGTGTGATTCTACTTGCATAATATGTCTAAAACAATCAAACTCATGAAGCCAAGAATAGAACTGTGGTTGCCAGGAACGGGGGAGGAGAAAGCAGGAAGTTGTTAAGCATGGACATAAAAGTTTAGTTACATTTCATACTGAAGCAGGAGGATCACAAATTCAAGGTAAGCCTGGGCAATATAGCAATAAACAAAATAAAAATTTACACAAAATAAATAAGTTCTAGAGCTCTGCTGTACAATTTTGTCCCTATAGATAACAATACTGTATTTTACACTTAAAACTGTTAAGAAGGTAGATCTCATGCTAAGCATTTTTACCATAATAAAAATTTTTAAGAACAAAAAGAAATGGGGGAGAAAATATCCACTTTCATATATTTCAGAGAAGCAAATCTTAATATTTTAATTAAATAAAAGGTTTTTAAAATTTTAACAAATAGGTGTGATAGGGTTGAGGATTTGAGGATAGAAATTACTATTTGAAATAGGTACCAAAGGAAATAGGAGAGAGCTCTGGCCAAAACTTAAAGGAATGCCAACTGTGCTAAAAAAGTAGCTAGGGCTAGAAATCATATTGTACACCAAATACAGAGGTCAAGGAAATGAAATTGTAAATAAAAAGAGCTAAGAGTATAAGAGATTGTGAACAGAGAACAAGACATGAAAGTCTAGATTTCAACATGATGACCATCATGATTTGCAGCTGTGATTTCTGGTCAGAGAAATAGAGGTGGGAAGCTAGAGCAGCATAGGGGTTATATACTTGGACACTAAGCTAATACGACGGGCAGAGTTAAGAAAGAAAGAAAACTATGCCAAATTAGTCCATAAATACAAAGAAGAAGCCCAAGTTATGGTAGAGGTTAATGTCAAGAAGGAGTAAAGGGTAGAATACGCCTTAGCATAAAGGTACTGATAAGGGTTAGGGCTATGGCTTAGCGGTAGAGCACTTGCCTAGCATGTGTGAGGCACTACTAGGTTTGAGTTTCAGTACCACATATAAATAAATAAAATAAAGGTTCATTGACAACTAAAAATAGTAATAATAATTTTTTAAAAGGTGCTGATGAGAATATTCCAGTTAAATCAATAGAGCAAAAGATACTTTTGCTCTATTGAGCAAAAGTCTACTTTTGTTTTCTCAGGGCCTGCAGCATTTATTATATAATGTAATATCAGTTCATATCATAAGCCACTGGGAATGGAAAAATAAGCACTAACTGCTGAAAGAGCATATAATCAGGAAATTTATTCAAGTAATTCTAGAACTTCTTATTACCACTTAATTCTTCTGCATAAAAATGTCCTTGAGGTATTTCTTCATATAATGTCAGGGAGAGGTTAGAATGTATTTTCTTTTCCCTGTCAAAGAAACATCCACATTAGAAAGCAGCAAATACAATTATATAAAACTACATTTTAAAATATTAGCAAACCGGGTCTGGGGTTGTAGCTTAGTGGTAGAGGGCTTGCCTAGCACATGTGAAGCACTGGGTTCGATTCTCAGCACCATAATTAATTAATTAATTAAAGGTATTGAGTCCATCTACAACTAAAAATTTTTTAAAAAATATTAGCAAATCTATCAATAGCCTGAGATTCATATCTACCTGCTTCTCTCCCCTCCCTCCCTCCCTCCCTCTCTCTCTCCCCCTCCCTCCCTCCCTCTCTCCCTCCCTCTCTCTCTCTCCTTCTCCCTCCCTCCCTCCCTCTCTCTCTTTTTCATCATAAGAACCTTTCCCAAAGAATTTTCCAGTGATAGAGTTTCATATTCTTCCCCTAGAATTCCCACCTTGTTTCTTTTACACACTGTATCTGTAAGGAATAGAATTTACTGAGCCTAGTCAGAAAATAGACGTCATTCTTTCATTGTGGTCCAATTTTTCCTATTATAAGTCACAGCAATTTTTTAAAGAAAGTTTTATAATAAGGCAAATAAAAACATCTTTAGGGCCTAGGTTGTAGCTCAGTGGTAGACCACTTGCCTAGAATGCATGAAGCACTGGGTTCAATTCTTAGCACCACATATAAATGAATAAATTTTAAAAAAAGGTTCATCAACAACTAAAAAAAAAATTTTTTTTTAAATGTTTAAACAGCCAACGAATCAAAGATTTCATCACCTGTCAGTAAAAATGTCTGGAAAAGATGATTCCTTTGATACTATTATAAATAAATAAATTATATATCATCAGTATTAGAAGAAATATTAAGAGTGTATATAATACAAGATTCTTGTACAAAAGTGGAAAATGAGGCCCAGAAATGTAAAGTGAATTTTACAAGAGCCTAAACTAAAATATGATGTCAATTAGTACTCAATTTAAGTCTTCCAATCCCAAGTACAGTGCTCTTATCTCTACTTGATCCTAAGAGCACAGTCTCTTAATTTGCAAAAAATATTTGACATTACGTATGCAAAAGAGACACATAACTCTGGAAAATAAAAAACCCAATCTTGAAGCAATAGTTAAGGAATAGAATACAATAATTTAATACCGAATAAGTGAGGAAGATGTATAAAGAGGTAATGAAGTCTTGGGAACATGGTACTGATTCGGCAACTGGCATAAAGTGCTTTCTTTCCTGGTCATCTCCTCCTTTGACAGCTTCAGAGAGGGAGAGGCAATCTAGGTCCAAAAGCAAGTACGTTGGTGCCTGAGATAACCCTAGTAATCCATCACTCTTAGAAAATTAACCTCTTAAAAGATAATCATAACTTGAGCTTCTCACCTAGCTATGCTTCTGATGTAAAATTGCTTTCTGTAATTAAATTGCATTTCATATGTGCTAAGTTTTTAAATAAACTATACGATGTTCTTTCTGCAAAGCCATGTTTTTCTTACGTATACCACTAATTGCCTTCTAATTCATATTCTGTCAATTTGCAGTCATGAATTTTACAGCACAGGGAAAACCTATGGTATAGTGACAACAACATGACTCAGCCACCAGACTAGGCTACATAAACAGATTTTAACTACAGGTACAAAATAATGTGAAGAATCAACACAGTTATTCAAATGACACAGGTAATTATTTTCAAGATTGAGTAAATTACCACTTACCCCTGCATATACAAACATGATTTAAGAGACAAACAGCTAGATAAATAGATAATAGATATAGACAAACAGCTAGATAAATAAATACCACTTTAGAAAAGGAGGACTCTATTATAGATGTCTTCAATTTTACATGGAACCTATAACTTTGAGTTTCAAAGACTACTCAGAATATAGAAAACAAACTCAAGCCACAAAAGATTGATAGAAATTGGTACTGAGATCCCAAAATCTTCAAATCAATGTTCTCAGCAAGAATAGGCTAGGAAAAAACTTACCTTCACTGGAGGAGTATGCCAAGTATGGTTTCTTTCTGTCTCAACTCTGGGCTGGAAAACAGAAAAAGAAGAAAGACCATTTCTCCTCATCAGTTATAGCCATGTCTCCAGGCACACACAAATTTTGAATTCAAATTTACACTAAATATGCGGGCCAGGAAAATAGAAATTTTAAAAATTCATTTAAAGTGATCCCAGACATATAACAGTTAAGAAGTGCAAGGCAGAAGCAAATGTAAATTCTCAAAAAAATTCTCTTGGAGGTACAGAGATTTATCATGAGACTCCCATAAATGTAGATCAAGTATATGTGAAAGAATGAACAAAATATAAAATGTTCAAGGACACAGTTAATATAAATGAGAATCATACAAAATGACAGATTTAGATTCTCAAAGATTTCATATATTTATCAGATACCAATCTTTATCAGATACCCTTAGTGAAGTAACTAAGGAAAATGAGCAAAGAATATGATTTAAGACAGATTTTTAAAATCAACAAATAAAACTTTTAGAATTAAAAAATATAATCACTGAAATTAAAATCTCAATGGGGAAGCTGGGGTTGTGGCTCAGTGGTAGAGCATTTGTCTAGCATGTGTGAGGCTCTGGGTTCAATCCTCAGCACCACGTAAAAAATAAAGGTATTGTGTCCACCTACAACTAAAAAAAAAAAAAAACATAAAATTCTCAATGGGGGGCTGGTTCTGGGGCTCAGCAGTAGTGCACTTGCCTGGCATGTGTGAGGCACTGGGTTTGACTCTCAGCATCACATATAAATAAATAAAATAAAGGTCTATCAACAACTAAAAAAATATTTTTAAAAAATCTCAATGGGAAGGCTAAACTGCAAATTAAATTCAGGTGGATGAAGAACAAGTGTACCACAAAGTACATAAGGAAAAATTACAAAATACAAGAAAGAAAAAGAGAAATAGATAAAAACAATGTGAAATAATCTTGCTATAGTTTAATGGGTTGCTATGTAAAGACTTGGTCCCTGGGCTAAGTCTGGAGGTAGTAGAAGCTTTGAGAGGTGGAACTCCATGACAGGCCTTTAGATCACTGGAAGCATGACTTCAAAGGGACTATGGAATCCTAGTCTCTGTCTCACTTTTCTGCTTCTTAGCTCATGAGGGTTGTGGTTTGCTCTGCAACATATTCCTGCCATTACATATATATATATTCCTGCCCCATCAGAGGCCCAAAGAATGGAGCCATTGATCTTGGACTGAAAATTCCAGAAACATAGGACAAAATAAAGCTTTTTCCATTTATAAGTTAATTTCTCAGGTATTTTATTATAGTAACATAGAGTTAATACAAATGTGAAAGAACATGAAGAACAGAATCATAAGGTCTAATATACATCTTCTAACAAGAATCAGAAGGATAGTAAAAGATTAAGGGAGAAGAAATTCTCTTAACAGAAATGAACTCAAATTTTACAAAACTGAAGAAAGGCATTCAACTTCAGATTTAGGAAGCACAACAAATATCAAAATAGAAAAATAAAAAGGAAATGTAGGAGTTAGTATGAGGAGTCTGCCATTCTTCAGATCCGTTTCCAGGTTCCTCCTATGCTTAGGAGCCCTATGCTTCTGTGCTACCCAGGTGCTGAAAGAAGCACAGGGAGAACACTGGGCACCAGGAAATGATACCCCCTTGATGTAGCAGCTTTCTTTAGAAAAAATGTCATTTTTCTAATTCTTAGCAGTGGAAACTCTCATTTATCATAGTCTAATTGATCAAGATTGACAACTATGTCCCAGAAACAATTCTTGCCATCATCATTCATTTGCCAGAGGTGGGAGCCCAAGACAGAGAAGATCTCCAAGGAATCTCTGAAAATGTCTTCTAGAGAAATTGCTACCAGGGCTGAAAGAAGATGGATTATGAATTGTGAAAAACAACTGAGATGCTTGCAGGGCAGCCACTCGCTGTATGGCTGCACACTTTCTATGGCTACTTCTGGCCAAACATATTAACTGAAATATGCCTCTCTTGTTCACACTAAAAAGAGAATGATTGAACTCATCTGGGAAACAGGGGACACAAGCAGTGCCTTGCCCTAGTGGAACAGTAATGTGAACTTGAGGAATCATGAGGAGAATGGGTATTATTAGGATGTAGTTATTAATGAGCAATGGATGCATAGCAAGGTCACAGGGTTAATTTAAAGTTCTTCAAGTTACTGCCAAAGCATTTCATAGAAGACATAAGAATGGTAAACAAATATACAAAAAAAGATTCATCATCTCTAGCAATTAGAGAAATGCAAATTAAAACTACATTGAGAATCCATTTCACTCCAGTCAGAAGAGCAATTATCAAGAATACAAATGAAAATAAAATGTTAGTGAGGATGTAGGGAAAAAGGTACTCTCATATATTGCTGATGGACTGAAAGGTGGTGCAACTACTCTGGAAAGCAGTCAAAATTCCTCAAAAAACTTAGAATAGAATCACCATTTGACCCAATTATCCCACTCCTTGGTTTAAATCCAAAAGGACTTAAAATCAGCATACTACAGTGACACAGTCACATCAAAATTTATAGCAGTTCAATTCACAATAGATAAGCTATGGAACCAACCTTGGTGCCCCTCAACAAATGAATGGATAAAGAAAATGTGGTATATATACACAATGAAATATTACTCAGTCATAAAGAAGAATTTTATGACTTTTGCCAGTAAATGGATGGAGCTGGAGACTATCGTGCTAAGTGAAATAAGCCAATCCCCAAAAGACAAAGGTTGAATGTTCTCTTTGATACACAGATGCTAACACACAAACAAGGAGAGGAGGGGGAAGAATAGAAATTTACTGGATTGGACAAAGGGGAATGAAGGGAAGGGAGCAGGGATAAGAATAGGAAAGACAATAGAATGAATCAGACATATCTTTTCTTTGTACGTCACAGTGAATCTCCATATCATGTAAAACCAGAAGAATGGGATCCTAGTTAGAATTTACACTCCAGGTATGTGTAATATGTCAAAATACACTCTACTGTCATGCATATCTAAAAAGAATGATTTTATTTAAAAAGCTCTGAATGAAATTGGAATGGAAATAAACTTTAAAAAATAAGCAAATGTAGGAAGTTGAATGATGCCTCCACAAAAAGATATGTCAATGTTCTAATCTCTGGAACCTGTGAATATAACCTTATTTTGGAGAAAAATTCTTTGTAGATATAAGTTAAGGGTCTTGAAATGAGATATCCAATAATGGATATGTTCACAAAAATAAGGAAGAGGGAAATTTGAGATACAGGAGAGAAGGACATAAAGACCCATGTGAAGATGAAGGCAGAGACTGAGGTTATGCTGCCACAAACCAAGAAACACTAGGCTCATTTTTAAAATAGCAGAAATGTCAGCAGAGGACACAGGTTTAAAAACTAAAATCGGTTTAATGGAGAAAAAAGGACAAATTTTCATCATCTTCTGAAAGGATTCTTTATTTTATTTTTTTTTAAAAAAGAAGGAAAACCAAGCATGACGGTGTACTCCTAAAGTCAGGAAGCTGAGGCAGGATCAACTCCAGCCAGGGCAACATGAGACTCCAAAGTTTAAAAAAAAAAAAGAAAGAAAGAAAGAAGAAGAAAAAGAGAGAGGCTGGGGCAGGAGGATCACAAGTTCAAAGCCAGCCTTAGAAACTTAGCAAGGCCCTGACACAAAATATAAATTTTTTAAAAAGGGGTAGGAATGTGACTCAGGAAAAAGAGAGGAAGAGGAAGGAGAAGTAACACTTAAAATAGTGACATTTTAAAACTTGGACAAATATTTGAAGGTGAAAGGAAAATTTCCAAATATTTACCTCAGTTCTTGTACTGTGCAGTTGTACTTGTAAACTTTTCTCTCTCCTGAACTTTTTTGCTCCTGAAAAATCAGAGGATTTTTCTTCTCTACATAGGAATACTGATGTTTTATACCTGAATCACACAGAAATCAGAATAACTCCTAGATTGCTTTTCTTCCTCTTTCCTTCTTTTCAACATTTAATTATGGAAATTTTCAAACATAAACCAAAATAGAATAATGTAATGATCCCCCACATGTAACTATCACCCAGCTTCACTAAGGCCAGTCTTTTTCCATCTATATCCTTACCCCTGCTCTTATCCTTTATTATTTTGAGGTAAATCCCAGTATCATATTATTTCATTACAAAGATCTTTTGGGGAGGAGTACTGGTGACTGAACCTAGAGACACACTACTACTGAGCTAAATCTCCATAATTTTTCATTTTTTTATTTTGAAACAGGGTCTTGCTAAATGGCTAAGGCTGGCCTCAAACTTATGAACCACCTTCCAACTCCCAAGTAGCTGGGATTACAGGCTATGCCACTGCACCCAGTCTCATCTGTAAAGATTTCAAATATATATCTCCATAATATACATTAGGTGTTTTTTTCTATAAAAAACATCTAAAATGCTATTATGACCCCTGAAATATTAACAGGTATTTCTTAATATCATAAAGTAAGATAATCAGAGTTCAAGTTTCCGGTTGTCACTTAAACAATATAAACTGTTTCAATAATTTGCATCAGATTCAATAAAGTCCCCATGTTATAGTTGGCTAATCTGTCTTAAATCTCCATTTATCTATAGCTTCTCCTTTCATTTTTCGACGATGATGAAAATGATGATGATGATGTCATTTGTCCCGTATATTTTCCAATCTGGATTTTGCTGGAAGTTTCATCATGATCATAGGATTCTAAAGTTTGATCATGTTAATGTTTAATTTTTTAGGGGGAAGTACAAAACCACTTGTTTTTTTAAGTGGTGTTTTTTCCTTCAGGAAGTACATAATGTCCAATTGACTCTCTGTATAATTTTGAATACATGAATTTAAGTATATTTGATGTAGTTTAATCCCTGTAAAAATTATTCTTTATTGATGCTCTAATTTTCTCATCTTCAGTGGGAAAAGGCAGGAGCTTCTTCAAGTAGGCACTTAAGTCCTCCTGATGTATCACTGGTAACATTCTTCCTTACTTTTCTTATCTGTGGAAATCAAGATGTTCTGGGCCTCTCTGTATATTTTCTCTACCTGAAATTTGCCACATCTCCAAAGAGCCTTTTAATAAGAAGTGGTATTTCAAGGCTAAAGTCTGGGCACTAGAGGCTGAACTGCCTTTTAATAATTTGCTTTCTTGTTACTTTTATTTCTTATTTCCACTTCCTATTGTACTACAAAGAATTTTCACAACACAAACATCACATAATACAACAAGATAAATACAATTAGCCTGAATCAAACTGGAAGAGACAAGACCAATGCTCTTGTAAAACTACATAGTTTTACTTCAGATAATCCAGGATATATCTAAATTTCAAGGACAAACATAAAATTATTTTTGTGTTCTTTAAACACTGTTGACTAGGAATGATTCCAGGCTGAACTAGATTCCAAACTTGTCTTCTTCACATTGTAATTACCTGGGGAGCTTCAGAAAACACTAATACCTATGTCCCATTCCCAAATATTGGTTTAAGTGTTTGGATGTGGTCTGATATTGAAATTTTTAAAAAATACCCACATAATTCTAACCTGCAGACAAATTGGGACTTACTATGGCAAACCCCATAGATTTGCTCCTGTCCAGTATTCACATCAACTGAGTTGCAGCTCCTCATACTTGGAGTAATATCTTACTCTTCCTTGTTCACAGAACTAAAAGTTTTTTCAGAAATGGTTCCTTCTTTTTAGAGCAAGACCTGCCTAGGTAATACACAGGATAATGACTAAGTTATATATTTAATAGTTTTAGGTAAATTTAGTCCTAAACAAACTTGTAAAATAAGAGAATATTTTATCATACATCCAGCAGATACTTTGCCCTTTGGACTCTGTATCCTTTTTATTTTTTTTAATTTATTTTATTTTATTTATTTATTTATGGGGAGAGGAGTGCTGGGGGTTGAACTCAGGGGCACTCAACCATTGAGCCATATCCCCAGCTGTACTTTGTATTTTATTTAGAGACAGGGTCTCACTGAGTTGCTTAGTGCCTCACTTTTGCTGAGGCTGGCTTTAAACTCACAATTCTCCTGCCTGAGCCTCCTGAGTTGCTGGGATTAGAGGCATGCGCCAGGGTACCCAGCTTCTGTTTCCCTTTTAAATCCAATCCCCCAAATTCCTATCCTGAAATAGAAATTACCTATCTTACTTAGTCCCCTCTACAGACCGCTGGTCCCATAGGCAATGACTTTCAACTATTTTGAAAATAAATAGGCTAACATAAATTTTCTATTGAGAAACAGTTCAGAAAGAGAATATATAATGACAAACTATTCCACAAAACAATACTTATCTATATTATGTGAAAAGTACTCTAATGTAATCAGTTCTAAACTATCCTTCAAAAAGAAAAAAATAGTAGTGACTTTCTTTTTGTATGTTTGGGTTTTTGTTGTTGTTGTTATATAATTTGGGGGTTGGTTTGGGGGTTTTTTGGTTTTGTTTTCTTTACTTTTTTTTTTTTTTGGTAATGAGTATTGAACTCACGGGTGGTGCTTAACCACTGAGCTACATCCCCAGCCCTTCTTTATTTTGAGACAGGATCTCACTAAGATGTTTAGGGCCTTACTAAGTTATTGAGGCTGGCGTTGAACTTGTGATCTTCCTGCATCAGCCTCCCAAGTTGCTAGGATCACAAGAATGTACAACCATGCCCAGCAACTAGTAGTGACTTTCTAAACTGATTTCATGACAATTAATTTCATGACCATTAATGGGTCACAGCCTAGAATCTACTGCTGCTTTGTCTCTCTCACCTCTTCCCTATATATCCCTCATGAAACTGAGTCTTCCTATAACTGGTTCAATCATGGCTTCCACTCTACTACATGATTGTGGTGTTTCATCTTCTTTTTTAAGTATGTTTTTAAATTTTGAGCTGCTCCAACATCTTATGGAATAGAGATGATTTGGTATAAATAATGAATAGTTTTAAAATATTTGTCCTGTATTCCATTCCTTTGGGGCATGTGTCTCCAAGGTACTAACCTACTTTGAACAATGCTAAAGAAACAAGGTAAGGGACATTCCCCCTACCTTCTACTTCTTATTAGATAACAAGTTCTATTGTGATCTTCTGGAAACAATTGACTTGCTTTTGCCATCTAACAGAAATCATGATAAAAATGTTAGATTAAATAAAGTAGAAATACAAATTTATGGTAAGTAGAGGAGATTTGGGTTTAAGTGCCTCTTTAATCACAATGCTCAGATAATTTCCAACTTCACCAATTGGTAAGACAAGCATATAGGTGGACAAAGATAAAGTGAGATATATCCAGAATGTTTTCTTAGAGCTTTCTTCTTTTTACAAGAAGCAAGTTTTCTATTCCAATCTTTTAAACAGAGATATGGATAAACTGTGGTATAAAAGCGTATTAAGAATTGTAATGCAAAAAAAATAGAGAGCTCATGTATAATGGCATAATTTGGCGTGAACATACTTTCAGAGTTACGAAAAATTGTGCTGTGAATGGATAGTTATGAATGTAATGCACTCCACTATTGCCATGTATGTAAGAAATTAAAAATTTTAATTTATATTAAAAATAAGTATTATTTATCCTGCATATATGTGAAAGGCTAGAGCTTCTTTTGTAACTAACAAAAGGTAACCAAGGCAATGAAATATACAAAAAAAAGAATTAACAAATATTCAAATGGTTTAATTTTATGGAAACCAGTAACCCAAGCTCAGATAGAAGAACACTTTTATTTCCTTCCTAAATTATCTTTAAGATATATTTTTTTTAATATTTATTTTTAGTTTTCAGCGGACACAACATCTTTGTTTGTATGTGGTGCTGAGGATCGAACCCGGGCCGCACGCATGCCAGTCGAGAGCGCGCTACCGCTTGAGCCACATCCCTAGCCCCCTAAGATAAATTTATATGGTCTGGGGATATAGCTTAGTTGGTAGAGTGCTTGCTTCACATGTTCAAGGCCCTGGGTTCAATCCCCAGCATCGCAAGGAAAAAAAAAAGATAAACTTACAGACACATTGATAATTTTGATAATTGCTCTCTTCTAACTGGTATTCTATGATAGATAACAGACTTCAATATAGTTGTGACAGAAGTGAGCAAAGAATGTAAGAATGGCTATTTAAGATTTAAAGCTATGCTCCTGAAAGAATGACCACAAATAAGCAACATAAACTATATGTTTGGCACTAACAAAAGCATAATTCAATAAAGTTAAGATCAGCATTTTTAACTTACACATTTTTATGTTCTGGATTATAACCCCTAATTTCAGGTGAAACTTTGTTCTCCACTATTTTAGAAAATTTGATGTATTTCTTGTTTTCAATATTTCTTGTTTGCAAGTTGGTTCCAGAAGAGTTATTAACTGATAAGCCAATATTTTCTTCTGCCTGTGAACAATCAAGAGTCACAATTATCCATGTTCTCTTTGTACCTATACATCAAATGCAACATTCTGGGTCCAATAATTCATGTTAGATCAGTATTTATTCTCAAATAATGCTACCAAAGGGAATTTTGTTAAAAATGATTTTATTCATTAGTGCATTATTATTTCAGATGACCTACTTTAAATATCATCAGTTTTCCTCAATGCATTATGAACCTCTAAAATACATGGCATTCATTAATATATTTAACAATACCTGAATCTAGTTCTTAAGGCATCAGATTGAAAATATTTACCATATGCTTTACAAAGCAATAGTTTTAATCATAAAAATTACATACAAATCAAAGGCATGATCCATGAAAGAAATAACTAATCAACTTGACTCCATTAAAATTTAAATATTTTGCTCTATGAACAAACTTATCATGAGAAGGAGAGGATAAATACTGGGAGAAAACATTTGCAAAGAACATACCTCATAAAGGACTATTATCCATAATATACAAAAGACTCTTGAAACAGCAATCAGAAAAGAACAACCCATTTTTAAAAGGGTAAATGATCTGTACAAATACTTCACCAAAGAAAATGTAAAGATAGCAAATACGCATATAAAAAGATGCTCAACATCAACTGTCACCAGGAAATTGCAAATTAAAACAAGATACCACTACACACCTGTCAGAATGGTGAAAATTCAATAATGAAAACTATAAGACATTGAGGGACTGGGGTTGTGGCTCAGTGGTAGAGTGCTCACCTCACACATGTGGGGCCCTGGGTTTGATCCTCAGCACCACATGGATAAATAAAATAAAGACATTGTGTTCATCTACAACTAAAAAATAAAAACATCCATACTATCCAAAGCATATTTGATGCAATTCCTGTGATAATTCCAATATCATTTTAAAAAAAAAAAATTTTTTTAAATCCTAAAATTTGTATTAAATCAGAAAAGACCCCAAAAAACCAAAGCAATCTGAAGCAAAACAAAGTCAGAGCCATCACACTTCCTCATTTCAAAATGCATTATAAAGCTATAGTAATCAAAACAACGTGGTACTAGCATAAAAACTAGAATAGGATTGAAAACTCAGAAATAACTCAAGTATTACAGTCAGCTGATTGTTGACAGGCGTGGCAAGAACATACAATAGGGAAATGACAGTATCTTCAACAAATGGTGGTTGGAAAACTGGATATCCACATGTAAAAGAATGAAATTAAAAAAGAAAAGAATGAAATTAGACACTACTTGTCTAATTTGAATATATAAAATTGACTCAAAATGGGTAAAATAAATTACAAAGCTACTAGAGGAAAACCTTTGGGAAAAGTGCCACAACACTGGTAATGGCGGGGTTTTTTTTAATATGACCCAGAAAGCACAGATAATAAAAGTAAAAACCGACTATTAAGACTGAATGAAGGACTGTGCTACAGCTCAGTAGTAGATCACTTGCCTATCATGCATAAGGCCCTGGGTTTGATCCCCAGCACCAAAAAAGGAAAAAATAAAACAAGAAGGGGATTGCATCAAACTAAAAACCTTCTGCACAGCAAAGGAAACAACAGCATGATGACACAATCCACAGAGTGGGAAAAAAATAAGCAAACCATACACCTGATAAAGGGTTAATATCCAAACTATATAAGGAACCTAAACATATCAAGAAAACAATCCAATTAAAAAGTTGGCAAAGAATCTGAACCGACAATTCTCAAAAATAAACACGTATAAACCAGGTGCAGTAGCATATGCCTGTAATCCCAGCAATTCAGAAGACTGAACCAGGAGAACTGCAAATTCAAGGCCAGCCTCAGCAACTTAGCAAGATCCTATCTCAAGTTAAAAAATAAAAGGACTTGGGATGTAGCTCAGTGGAAAAACACCCTGGGTTCAATCCCTAGTACTGAAAAAAAAGTACAAATGACCAACAGATTTGAAAGAAAATGTTCAATATCTCTAATCATTATGAAATGCAAATAAATTACAACCAGTGATACTACTTCACACCTGTTAGAATAGCTATTATCAAAAAGATAAAAAAAAATATCAAGGATTGGCAAGGATCTGAAGAAAAGGAAACCCTTACAAACTGTTGGTTGGAACATTGATTGGTATAGCCATTTTTGGAAAATAGTATGAAGGTTCCTCAAAAAACTAAAAATAGAATTATCATATGATTCAGCAAGTCCACTTTTGGGTATATATTCAGAGGAACTAAATAGTATGTCAGAGAGATATCTGCATTCCCAGATTGATTTTAACATTATTCACAATAGCCACAATATAAAATCAACCTTGGTGTCCATGGACAAATAGATAAAAAAAAAATTGTAGTATATCAACACAATGGAATACTATTCAGGCTTAAAAGGAAGGAAATTCTGTCATATCCAACGCCATGGATAAGACTGAAAGCTACATGTAATAAGCCAGGTATAGAAAGACAACCCTGCATGAACTCACTTATATGTAAAATATAAAAACCCTGATCTCATAGACACATAGTAAAAAGCTGTTTACCAGAGGCTGGAGAAGAGGGAGGGATGGGGAAAAGGAAAGAGTACAAAGTTACAGTTACACTGGAAGAGTTTAGTGAACTGATGCACTGTATGGTAACAACACTTGTTAATAATGTATTGTGTATTTCAAAATGGCTGAAAGAACAAATTTTTAATATTCTTATATCAAAAATGATAAGTTGATGAGGTGATGGAAACAATGGAATGATCTTGACAGAATCATTCAATTACATATACACAGCTGAAAACACCAATTTGTATCCCTTAAATATACACAATTATTATTTGCCAATTTTAAAATAATTTTAAAATTCAATGACACTATTTTAAAAACGTGAAAATCCCAAACACTATAAGTAACAAATATGAACAAGAAAGTGGAACAAACGGAACTCATTCATTGTTGGTGGGAATGCAAATGGTAACAGCCACTTTGGAAGACAGTTTAAATTCTTTGATCTCTTGAAGAATTATCCAGGTTGCTACATTCAAAAGATATTCCCATCACACCCCACAGAAATTCTCTTGGTATGGTACTAGTTGGGTTGTTAGATGACAGTCCAACATATGTTCACTAAAAGAGCTCAAAAATCATCTCAGATATTAGGCAGGTTCCTGAGGACTTTATTACTCTCTAAATTTGCTTAATGATCATAGATGTATAATAATATAAACTAAAAAATACAGGGAATCTTTAAAAACTGTCTTGAACAAATACCTGGCAGAACAAATGTTCTTTTGTTTCCATCTTTCTGCTGAGAGATAAATTCTGCTCTTCAGGATTAAAAGGCCTTGATCAACAAGTATGATTGAGCAACAGTGCAAAAGGATTTCCTGCAGAAATAGAAAAAAAATCATATGTCTATTTAGGAAATTTAAGTAATTATATTTATAGTTATATTTATCTACCTGAAGTTATCTCTTCAGTGTAACACTCTCTTAAGGTATAATACCTAGCATTGCAGATACATGGACATAATAAAGCAATTATTAGATTATAAATCACAGGAGAGCACCCAGTCCCTTTGTGGTATAAAGAGAAGTAAATAAATGCACCTCAAGTGGCACAAAAAGCAGAGAAATCCAATTATATTTATTCAAATAAACCCTAAGGAGTAGAACTACAGAAACAGCAATCACCAGCTAACAAATGCTTACTATGTGCTAAACATTATGATAAACACTATGACATGAATTATTTAATTTATTCTTCACAATTGTCCTTTAAGGAATTGCCATTATCCCTATTTTACAGATGAGAAAAATAAAGACTTGGAGAGAAATGAAATTTCCCAAGACCACACAGCCAGCAAGTAATGGAATCAGAATTTGAATTTAGGCAATCTAACTCAAAAGCACATGCTCTTCAGCACCATACAACACTGCCTTCAAAACAATACTACTACAAACCAAAGATGTTTTAGCTTCACTTGAGACTGTGGATTTCACATCATGCTGTTGAGAGCCACAGCCGAAGGGGCCCCAGCAAACTTCCAGCTGCTTCCAGCAAACTTCCAGCTGCCGGCTGATGATTGGCTCACAGCCGCCCCAGCAACATCTAGCTGATTGGCTCCTCGACCCCAGCAACATCTAGCTGATTGGCTCCTCTGCGGTGATGCTCATTGGGCTGTTTCCCTGCCCTTTCAGACCACGGAGCTGCTCATTGGGGGACTTTTTTGGCTCCGCCCACGTGACCCAGCCAATCAGCCTCAAGAGCAGGAGGATTGTGGGAGGTGGAGAGAAGCTTGTGTGGGAGAGAGAGGCTTGGGGAAAGCCGGTGGTGGCAGTTGAGGCTCTGAGGGTTTTTCCTGAGAGACTATTTTGTTTGTCGTGTGTGGTTCTAAAAATAAAGTTAGTTTCTTTTGACAAGTGGCTCCTGATTGTGCCCAGCCAGACTGTGGCATCATGCGACAGTAATAACCAACACTTCTGGAAATTCCCAAAATTGTCACAATTTTTTTTACTCATATCTGAGCCACATCTGAACAGCTATTTATTACATTATTAGTAATGTTATATATTACAATTCTAGTTGTATCCATCAGTGTCTTTTTCATATTGTGAAGTATCATTATTCTGTCAAATAGACACCCATCACTTTTAAATTGTTTGCATTTATTTCTGAAATATGCTATAGTAATTAATTTTGAATGTGATATATCTACTATCTCTGGAATCCAAAATAGGTTTAAAAATAAAATGAAATCACATTAACAATACGCATCTCAAGAAGACATTAGAAATCTATCCAGGTCTCCCAGCAACCCATTGTATGAAATCTCTTCTATACCTTCTCTAATCAGTTCAATCTTTAAATTATTTGTCAGAGCAATACTGTCTTCACTATCCTTGCTGTCCTCATGATTCAAGTTACACTAATCATTTGGATTTTAATTTTGACATGTATAGTTCTTCTATCAACTCCAGCCTAAAAGAACTGGGACTGGTTACTTATCATTCTTTGAATAATCTCTCATAGTATCAAGCACAATTGTATATATAATAATAAAAAAATAAAAAGGAGAAAAATGAAGGATGTTGATGACTGGGAGTTCTTTAATCATCTATCCATTCATTCCTCAATCTGTAAACTCAACATAGATTTATTGCCTGCTCACTATGCTAAGCTCTTTCTGGGCCTGAGGATATAGCAGTAAACAAAATGGGGGGGGGGGAAACCCTGGCTCAAGAAGAGCTTACATCCTAGTCAAGGAGAGAGCTTACATCCTAGTCAAGGAGAGAGATGATAAAATAGAAAAAAAATTAAAATATATTGTACTTGTCAGTTATCTGTGATAAATACTAATAAGAAAAAAGTAAAGGGAAGAAGAATAGGAAGCAATGTGTAGAGGGAGAAATGCAGGTAATAGAAGGGTGGCCAAAGAACACTTGACTGAGAAGCAAACTTGAATGAAGAGGAACAGAGGTAGGGAGCCTATGAATATCTCAGAAAAGAGGCTTCAGCCAGAAAGAAGAGCAAGTACAAAGGCCTAGAGCAAAAAGAAGCCTCACTATCCAAGAACCGTAGAAGACACTGGAAGCTGAAGCAGAAACAGCAAACAGAACAGAGGAGGCAGGCAGATTAAGGAGGGCCCATTAATAATACTAAGAACTTAAGCTCCTATCCGGAAGGGGTGGGAATCATTAAAGAGTTCTGAACAGAGGGAGACAAGACCTGAGGTCCTTTCTGAAAGAATCACTCTAGGGCCTCCTGAAGTAAAGAAAGTACTTCAAAGAGTAATCAATTGTGGTAAAAGGTGCTATTGGTCAAGACAAGTATTGAAAGACTCATTAGGTTCTGCAAGGTAGAGAGAACACCCGAGATGTTGAGAGGAGCCTTTGGATGGTGGCTCATAAAACATCCTTGGAGAGAGAAAAGGGGGTGAGGATGGATACTGCAGATATAAAGTAGACTCTCTCATGAAGTTTCGCTGTCAAGGGAAAGAGAGCAGTAACTGAGGAGGAAGTGGAGTCATGAGGATTTAATGAGAAAAAAGAAAGGCATGTTTACAGAAGACTATGTAAGGCATGCCACTACAGAGTACTTTCCCCTTTCGCTCACACTGCCCCTCCCTCCAAGTGGCCCCACTCACTTTTCCCTTGCAAATGTCTATAACAGCAATTGCACACCTAACCTCATTGCACCTAATGCCATCAAGGAACATTCACACATTAATCACTCCCGTTTGTTATATTTGCTTAAAAATATTCTGTGAATCTCCTCCTGGGGCAAGAACCCATGCTCTGGTGGAGTCCCATAGGCCCCGTTTTTATGAGTCAAACAACTCTGAGAAGAAAGTCAACGTGTCAACAAATGAGCAAACGACCCCGGAGATGAAAGTGCAAGTTGCCGGGGACAGGGAGTTTCCCAGCGACCGTGTCCTCCACCCTTCTACAGCCACTTTCTGAGGGACCGCGTGATTAGTCCCAGTCCTTGTCACTCTGCCCCTCTGACTGTCCCATTTGGTAGCCTCGCCTTCCTCTCTGGAACCTTCCTTCACCCAGCTCCTTTAATGTTCTACTGTGTCCTCCCTCACATCTTGTTCTCCCCCGTCAGGCTCCAAGGTTCTGCCTTCCTCTCTCCTCAGCAAACCTCGCCTGGACACCTCGTCAGCGTTGCTTCAATCGACCCCATGGACCCTCCTGGCTGCCCTGCACTGCCCCGCCCTCCTTCCCTCAAGCTGAGGCTCGCTCTGGGAGACAGGCGGGTGTCCCCCAGTCGCCTCAAGACCCTCGAGCGCAGCGCCCTGGCTCCGCCTCCTTCCCCGGCTCCCGCGCAGCGCGGCCCCGCCCCCGAGGTCACCTGACCGCGTCCGACGCTCCGCCCACCTAGCGGACCCAGCGAGGCAGGCTCTGGACCCTGGCTGCCGCCGCCAGAGCCAACGCCTCCGCCAGAGCCACGCCACCGCCACCGCTACCGCTACCGCCACCGCCGCCTCCACCACCATCCAGGCTCTAGGGCGGGCGGTGGGGAAGCGGCTGAGCTCGCCGCCGTCTGGGCGCCGACGGGAAAGCGCTGCGGTCGAGCCGGTGGGCCCCACCTCATAAGGAGCTGTGACCTCACCCGGCCGGCACTGCGGGCCTGAACTCGGTGTCTGGGTGCCGGGGTCTTTTCTCTCGCTGTTCTCCGGCAGCCCTGGATTTCGTCCTCCATCCTACCCATTCGCTGCTCTTCCAGTAGCTCTGTTTTTGTTCATTCTCCGGTGCTCTCGCGCGGTACCCTGACCCCCCACTTCAGTTTGGTTTTCTATCCCTGCTTTGAATACCTCCGACCTCCCTTTCTTCCAGAGTTTGCGGTGCTTCTTGGTTTCTGCTACTTGGTATTGGTCTCTAATCCCAGGATCTCGAAAGGCAGAGGCAAGAAGATCGCAAATTGGAGGTCAGCCTTCGCAATTTAGTGAGACCCTGTCACCAGATAAAAAATAAAAAGGCCTGGGGATGCAGCTCAGTGGTAGAGCGCCTCTGGGTTCAATCCCCAGTGCCGAAAAATAAGTAGTAAGAGACTGAAAGTAGCAGTTTTAAGGCCCTTCTTACCAATATTTACCTGAAATGAATCCCAGGCTACCTTTTGAGGTACTCTTTCTTTTGTAAGAGATAGTTTGGATTTATTTATTAAATCAACTTTTTGTACTTCCCTGAAATGATGGTGGCAAAAAAAATACTGCTTTCTTCAAATATTATATCCCTAATACGTTGTATAAATCCAGTTCAGCCAGAGGCGGTGGTGCACATCTGTAATCCCAACAACTTGAAAGGCTGAGATAGGAGGATCACAAGTTCAAAAGCAGCCTCAGCAATTTAGCGAGAACCTGTATCAAAATAAAATATGAAAAGGGCTGGGTATGGCTCAGTGGTTACACCCCCCTAGTTCAATCCCTTGTTGCAAAAAAAAAAAAAAAAAAATCCAGTTCAGTGAAATTAATCATTTTCTAGGGCCATATTAAATTTGTAAATGCTCTGTAAGAACATTTTGTGAAGATTTTTCTTTTAAAAAGTTCATCTGTCTTTTATAAATATCTGTCCTTTATAAACATATCAGTCAGTATGTTTACATGCATTTATCCATGTAATTTACATTTATCCATGTAATTTATCTGTTATTTACATTGAATTGAACAGCACAGGCTTTAGATGGATGGATACAATTTACATTCTGTCTTTACTGCACAAGATTTAGCAAATTACTTGTACTCCCTGAGTCTGTTTTCTGTTCTTCAAGGGTTGTAGGAATTTTAAAATGTATATGTAGCACTCGATAAATGTTGCAATATTTAATTCCTTCAGTGATATTACCTGCTCATTTGTATCTTAAAACCCTGCTTTGTAAGGATTTAGAACTTTTATTTCATTTTTAAATTAATGACTCATTATTGTTTATATATGTGAGGGTATAATGTGATGTTTTAATATATGTACCTTATATGGAATGATTAAATCAAGTTTATAGCCTCGATCACCTCACTTATCTTTTTAGAAATGAGATTTGAAATTTTTTCAGCAGCTCTTAATATAGTACATTATTGTATGCTTTACAATATATTTCAAAATTTAATCCTCCTGTGGGATGTGGTGGCACAGGCCTGTAATTCCAGAGGTTTAGGAGGCTGAAACAGGAGAATCCGGAGTTCAAAGACAGCCTTGGCAAAAGTGTGGTGCTAAGCAACTCAGTGAGACCTGTCTCTAAATAAAATACAAAATAGGGCTGGGGATGTGGTTTAGTGATTGACTGCCCTTGAGTTCAATCCCTGGTGCAAAAAAAAAAAAACAACAAAAATCTATCTGAAACAGTGTACCCTTTGAACAGCATCTCCCAATCTTCACTTCCTCCCAGCCTCTGACAACCAACATTCTATTATTTCTTTTTCTTTTTCCCTTGAAGTACTGGGGAGGGAGTAAACACAGAGGCCCTTTACCACTGAGCTACATCCCCAATCCCCAGTCCTTTTTTCACTTTTTATTTGAGATAGAGTCTCCTTAAGTTGGTGAGGCTGGCCTCCAACTTGATATCCTCTGCCTCAGCCTCCCGAATAGCTTGGATTATAGGCGTCCTTCACCACACCTGGGTCTACCCTCTATTTCTGAGTTTCATCTTCCTGTGTCTTGCATATTTTACTTAGCATAATGTCCATCAGGTTCTTCCATGTTGTCACACACTGCAAGGTTTCCTCTTTTAAGGCTAAATATTCAATTTTGTATATATACCACATTTTCTTTATCCATTCAGTCATTGATGGACACTTGGATTGATTCCATATCTTGACCATTGTGAATAATGCATCACAAAGCATGGGTGTGCAGGCGACTCTTTGATAGACTAATTTCAATCCTTTGGATATGCCCAGAAATGGAGTTGCTGGATTATGGTAATTCCATTTCTAGTTTTTTGAAG